TTATACTGAAAACAAGAAATTAAAAGAACTTATATAAGATTTAGAATCATAAATTACAGAATTAAAAGTTTAATAGACATAAATTAAAGAGGAAATATAGAATAAATAAAATGAAAATACCAAATTAATCAAAAACAATAAAGAGAATGAGTAGAAAGTAAACTAATAGGAAACTGAAAACAAGAAACTAAAAGAACATATTTAAGATTTAGAATCATAAAATACAGAATTAAAAGTTTAATAGACATAAGTTTAAGAATAAATAGAGAATAAATAAAATGAAAATACCAAATTAATGAAAAACAATAAAGAGAATGAGTAGAAAGTAAACTAATAGGAAACTGAAATCAAGAAATTAAAAGAACTTATATAAGATTTAGAATCATAAATTACATAATTAAAAGTTTAATAGACATAAATTAAGGAGGAAATAGAGAATAAATAAAATGATTATACCAAATTGCTCAAAATTAATAAAGAAAATGAGTAGAAAGTAAACTAATAGGAAACTGAAAACAAGAAACTAAAAGAACATATTTAAGATTTAGAATCATAAATTACAGAATTAAAAGTTTAATAGACATAATTTTAAGAATAAATAGAGAATAAATAAAATTAAAATATCAAATTACTCAAAATTAATAAAGAAAATGAGTAGAAAGTAAACTAATAGGAAACTGAAAACAAGAAATTAAAAGAACATATTTAAGATTTAGAATCATAAATTACATAATTAAAAGTTTAATAGACATAAATTAAGGAGGAAATAGAGAATAAATAAAATGATTATACCAAATTGCTCAAAATTAATAAAGAAAATGAGTAGAAAGTAAACTAATAGGAAACTGAAAACAAGAAACTAAAAGAACATATTTAAGATTTAGAATCATAAATTACAGAATTAAAAGTTTAATAGACATAAGTTTAAGAATAAATAGAGAATAAATAAAATGAAAATATCAAATTACTCAAAATTAATAAAGAAAATGAGTAGAAAGTAAACTAATAGGAAACTGAAAACAAGAAATTAAAAGAACATATTTAAGATTTAGAATCATAAATTACAGAATTAAAAGTTTAATAGACATAAGTTTAAGAATAAATAGAGAATAAATAAAATGAAAATATCAAATTACTCAAAATTAATAAAGAAAATGAGTAGAAAGTAAACTAATAGGAAACTGAAATCAAGAAATTAAAAGAACTTATATAAGATTTAGAATCATAAATTACAGAATTAAAAGTTTAATAGACATAAATTAAGGAGGAAATATAGAATAAATAAAATGAAAATACCAAATTAATGAAAAACAATAAAGAGAATGAGTAGAAAGTAAACTAATAGGAAACTGAAATCAAGAAATTAAAAGAACTTATATAAGCATTTAGAATCATAAATTACATAATTAAAAGTTTAATAGACATAAATTAAGGAGGAAATAGAGAATAAATAAAATGAAAATACCAAATTAATCAAAAACAATAAAGAGAATGAGTAGAAAGTAAACTAATAGGAAACTGAAAACAAGAAACTAAAAGAACATATTTAAGATTTAGAATCATAAATTACAGAATTAAAAGTTTAATAGACATAAATTAAGGAGGAAATAGAGAATAAATAAAATGAAAATACCAAATTAATGAAAAACAATAAAGAGAATGGAGTAGAAAGTAAACTAATAGGAAACTGAAAACAAAGAAATTAAAAGAACTTATTTAAGATTTAGAATCATAAATTACAGAATTAAAAGTTTAATAGACATAAGTTTAAGAATAAATATAGAATAAATAAAATGAAAATACCAAATTAATCAAAAACAATAAAGACCGTGAGTAGAAAGTAAACTAATAGGAAACTGAAAACAAGAAAGTAAGGAGAGGCTTTCAGTAATCCTCGAGCAATCATAAAATACAGAATTAAAAGTTTAATAGACATAAGTTTAAGAGTAAATAGAGAATAAATAAAATGAAAATATCAAATTACTCAAAATTAATAAAGAAAATGAGTAGAAAGTAAACTAATAGGAAACTGAAAACAAGAAATTAAAAGAACATATTTTAGATTTAGAATCATAAATTACAGAATTAAAAGTTTAATAGACATAAGTTTAAGAATAAATAGAGAATAAATAAAATGAAAATATCAAATTACTCAAAATTAATAAAGAAAATGAGTAGAAAGTAAACTAATAGGAAACTGAAAACAAGAAATTAAAAGAACATATTTAAGATTTAGAATCTTAAATCATTAAAATGAAAGTATAAAACACCCAAAATGAAGAGGAATTAAAGAAAAAATATAATGAATATACAAACTTAATCAAAAATATTAACGAAAATGAATAGAAAATACACTAAATGTAAAATTAAATATTTAAATCAAATTAATTAAACGAAGATTTACAATCTCAATTACTTTAACTTAATATACTTAATACTAAACTTATGAACGACTTAGAACATATTAAATCCTTAAAGCTCTATTCTCTTACTAGCAATAGTTTATAAAATACTTAATAATCCCTAGAAATTTCTCAATTGCCTTAAATTTCTTAAGATTATTAACCGCCTCAACTTGATTAATTAAATAACGATTTGATGTCTCTTAATAATATCAACTAATAAGTACCTTAAGACACAACTTAATTACCGTTTTCAAATATTTTACCTTCTAGTTTACCTTTCCAAATTTCTTAGATTACAAACCCTTCCTAAAATATTTAATGTTAAATTTAATAAACCCAATAAAATGAGTCTCCATCAATTAAATAATTAAATGAAATTGATAAATTTTAAGAACCATAAATATATGATATACAATTGTAATTATAATAAAAAGAAGAAATTATCTTGAATTTGGAATCTGTAGTTAAATTTTAAGAACAATAATTAATGTAACTTAACAGCCTTTTAGTTAATGCAGAGGAGGCTCTATCTAAAATTTTTTGATTTATAATATCAAACTTATTTATTAAAAATTAATTCATCAACCACCTGGCGTCTAAGGCATTAAAATTCCTGGTTTTACAAAAAGAATGAAGGAGACCAATGCTGAAATAAACATAGGAAGTAGAATCATGCAGGCTTATTTGCATATCATTCCCCATGGTATTCCTATTCCCTTAAAAAAAGCCCCTAGTCCTCTACCTTCAGTAGGTTTTTTTAAAAAAGGATCTATATTTGGCTCTTCCTAACCTTCTCCAACTGGTTTAGCCTCTGCCATACTTTTCTATAAAATTGTCATTTGTAACATGACCGTTCCTTTTTCAGCATCTGGCTCTTTGGCAGAACTTAGCTTAATTTAAGTAGGTGCCATTTCATAAATTGCCTAAGTTTTCATAACTGTTAATACTCTGATAATATAAATTATAATACCTCTTAAGACTGATGGTGGCTTCTCCGATTATAGGGCTTGCACCAAAAACAGAAAAATCATGAACGCTAATTTTCATTCTTGGAAATTAACAAGGCGTTTTGAAATTGAATTTCATTCTCCAATTAAATTCCCCATTTCCATCAGTACTGCCCATATGTGTATCAGTTTCCTTTCCGATTTCCGATCCAGTTCCGGTGGCTGAGGAATCCATTACACATCTAACAAAGATATCAACAGCTTTTTTAACTGGGTTTAAGGGTATATTGAAAGTTTCCCAAACAATTACTCTAACTTCGTATTCTTAAGGAAGCCTTTCCACTAACAACGCTGGAGGAATTAGACGAGAAACTTCTAAAGGTAGAACTTCAACAAACATTTCTAATTAACCCTAAGAGACTAGTTTATCTGGATGTCTCAATTATTAGTATTCTACAGGAATTTCTAGAGTCGTTATCGATTCTATCTTTTAGGTAAGATTTGCTATTTCAGCCTAGTAACTTAATTTAATATCATCAGCATTATCAGTGTATTTTAATCTTTCTAAATCATTTAAAAAATAATCTTTATATGCTTCACAAGAAAGCCTTGATTTTAGCTTCTTTTCCCCCATCAGTCTATCCTCAATATCAATTTTAACTGCACCGATAAGCTTATTTGTTAAGCCTCCTTTATTAAATACCCTAATGTGAAGAAAGCAATCTTGAGGAAGAATTGCATCCAATTCAAATGACCTTAGAAATGTTGGATTAAGAGTATTGGAAATAAATTTGTCAGGGTCTGATACTTTTTTTACGAATTCTCCAGGATCGGCACCAGGTTCTCCAACTTCAATTTCAAGATAAGGGTTTGCAGAATTTCTTGATTATTCTCCTGCCATATAATGATAAGCGTCTATATTTTCTGATTAGGCTGCTAAACTCAAACCTCTATATATATAAACTCTGACTTTGCATCTAAATTGTTGTTATTTTAAATAATCATGAAAAACTGGATCGAAAAAATCAAATGGGTAATCTGCTGATCTTAATCTTTTGACATACTCAGCTTTTTCAACTAATTCAGATTTTTTGGTTTTCTTATCCTCATTTTGTTGAGACTGTTTGACAGTTTATTTAAAAGTGCTAACATTAATTAATTTGACATCTGCTTTTAAGATGGCACTTGTTTCTTATCCTAATCCAGACCCATTTTTGTTTAACTCGTATATTTTATATCTTTAGAATGGAAGGCCCTTTTAAATCTCTGTATCATATTGTCCTTTGATGATTGAACGTCCATAATCAATGCCATCATCTGATAGCTCAATTGTTCTTTCTGTAAAAAAGGCTTATAAATCTTATACTTTAAAAATCTGTTCTAAAATAGCCTTCTTCAAAAATTATTTATTTAATTCTGTGTTTAAAGATTTTGGTAAAGACTTTAATAACTTTGTAAGTTTTGACTATTTCTCTTTTTTGATCAATTATTCTCTTATTACATCTTCATCATCAAGAATTAATACAATTTCATCTTGTACATAAGCATTTTCTATCCCTCTGGTTCTCATTCGTTTCTTTATAACATCACTTGATTTTTCTAAAGCTTAAGCTAAAACTTCAGTTTATTATTTTGTAGATTACTTTGACTTTGTTGATTATTTCTCCTTAGTGCTTGGCTTTATTGATTTTTTAGTGAATATTGTTTTTGGTTCTTCTTATTCCTCTTGTTCTTGTTCTTCTGTTTATTCTTCTTATATTTAAGGAGTTATATCTGGAGGTGGAACATTAGAGCTCAGCATACCACTTTCAAGAGTAGCATAATAATAAGCATTAAGTTTATGTTAGACTTTTTGATCCAATCCTGGATATAGATTATATAAGGGAACAGAAAAGTAATATTTTTAAGCTAATCCTTCCTTGCTGTAGATTTCTACATTTAATTATGGCATCAAAAGAGGATTCTCAGGTAACTGTATATCCAAAATAAGAAGTGACAAGAAGTTTGGATCTGTATATCCAGGGCTAAATCTGGTTTCCTCTTCATCTCCTTGTAAATACGAATCCACTTTTACAACTGAATCTTAATTTGGATTAGATATTCTAGCAATTAGTTGAGCTTTTCTAAGTTTTCTGGGTAATTATCTGATAGCATAGACTGGAAAAAGTAATTTATATTCTTTAAATTGAGTGAAGATTTCGGATACATTAATTTTAGGATCAATTTTATCATTTTTTTTCTTTCTTTATAAAGTCACTCCAAGAATAATTCTTCCTTTTGACTTTCCATTATGAAGTATATGAAATATCTAATATATTGGTTCTATTTATTCCTCTTCAGAGACTCTGCAATTGATTGCTGACACATTTGCTTATCCAATAGGTCTATTGTTAAGGAAATATTTACTCTTTATTATTGAAAAAGGATATCACCAAATTTGATACAAATTCTAAATTTTATTCCATACTAACTGGAATTCTAATACATTGATTCCAAATTGGATTCTTGCTATTTTTATTTTATTCAGATTTATAAACTTAATTTGCAATTCTAACTTCATAACTCAATGAAATTTCATCATTTACTTTGTCAGGACAGAAGTCAAAGCCACAATAAAGGTAAATCTTACAAATATATGGTAGAACCATATTCTTTTTCACAATAATTTTTGGAATCTAGGAAATAATATTTATTTATCCGAAGAGTATGTTCATCAAAACATAACTATGAACTCCCTCTTATTCTCCTTTTAATTTTAAATCCTTAAATTCATACCATTATGGTTTGTCATTAGTCAATTCTGGGCTTGTGGCAGGTAGTCTAATATAAGCAACTCTTTTCTTTTCTTTATTCATTAACTCAAAAAACAAGTCGGTTTATTCGCTCGGATTTTTTGGAACTTCCACTTCCCATGCTTTTAGAATCACTTTGTTTCTCCAAACAAATTGCCCAGGAGACTTACAGTCAGCCTCTGAAGAATCAAAATACTCTTTTCCAACTCTCACTCTAATAAAGATAAATTCATCTAGGTCTTTTGCTTGATTCACTTCATAAGTATCCAATCTTAACATGTATTTTTCAATTGAAGGTTCTCGGTAAATACCTAATGGCTATACAAGCTTTTCAGGCTTTTCAGATGGTGTTAGATTTAAAGATAATAGAACTCTACCCATATAGCAAGTTCCTCTTGGATTTTTCTTGTATCCAAGAACATTTGATTCATAGGTTGATGGTCGTTCATTCGTTGGAATCCCATACAGCGAAAACCATCTAAATGGCAAAACTCCTCCTTTACTTTACAAATACGTCATATTAAAAAAGTCATTTTCGGAAGGAAACTCTGGTATCTAACCTATAAAAGTATCTGCCATACAAACTCTTTTATCCCAAACTCTTATAATAATTTTATCATTTTATAAAGGGAAATTAATCGGAAACATCATTCTGACTCTATATTACGGTTTTTATTAGTTTTTCAAAACGCTTGTAATTTAGGTTATACCATTAGCTCTAACTGAGATAAAACTATCAATAGTTGTCCCATTAAGAATTGGTAGATCTTCAGCTTTCACAATGTTAACCATTAATTAAGCAAGTTTTGTGTATGGCATTGGTTTGCACACCATAGCAATTTTCTTTTAATTTTCCCTCCTTTATTATAGTTGTTCGCCTGTTAACTGATCATCTGGAACACCCCCAAAAGGATCTGGTTCATCTTCTACATTATTTTCATTAGCATCATGAACAGGAGGAGCATCATTTTATCCAATGATATAAGCAGAGATCAAAATATATCCTTAAACTTTATTTACTTCTTTTGGATGTGTAAGTCTGAGCCATGAGTTGTAAATTTCATGAGATGGATTTCTATAAAGAGTTGCCAATCCAATTGAATGAATTCCAATTAATTCATTTTGAAAAAATTAGTTCTAATCAAAGACTTCTATTTTGGCTTCAAAATTTTCAAAATCAACATCTGACATCTTTAAACCTTCAAAAGTAAAATTCTATAAATATCAGCATAACCATTACCTAATTAAACACTGCAGTAGTGGCTTTCATTTTGGCAGTACTCACCTAGGTTGGAAGGTTGCCAACAGTAATTTTAACGAATGGATCAGATGAGCCGGAAGAATCTTTAGCCACTAAATCTCTTGCTTCAATCACAGCAATCTGAACCAAATACTCATTTTTTTTCATTTTATAATTTTTTCAATACTAATATAATCAAAAATCAATTAGAAGAATATATACATGAATTAAGCTTGAAATTAATATGTTTAAAAATCCTTTAAGATTGCAACAAATATTTTGAGTCATATTGATAAAAATTGCACTCAACTTTAAAATAAATAATATAATAATAAACGCATTTCAAAAATTTATGTTTTTATGCATTTTAATATAAGAAATAAATCCACTTTAGTAATAACACCTAAAGTTGAGTTTCAATCTTTATTTGTTTATAAAAAAGATGATTTAGATTGGTTTTAATTTATTAATTCATTTTGTAAAAGGGATTTAATTTTACAGAGTGATTGTATTATATTAAATAATTATTAAGTGTTTAGATGGATCTAAATAGAGACATTAAGTATTCAACTTTGAAGGTTTCTGACTAAGTTCAATTCGGAGGAATTATGACAAAGGAAGAATGTAGAGCATTAGCCAGAAAAATCATGTCAATATATGATGGGGATGGAAACGGCACATTAGATTCTTTTGAAGTTGGTTACATTCAATCCGATTGTTATAGGGCAATGAATAAAGGATTCAATCCAACTCCAACAGATATTGCTGCTTTTTCCAGAATCATCGATAGTATCGAATATACCCAATTATTTTAGGACGCTAATGTGGCATGGTGACGGATAAAGATATTGAAGCTTTATGTATAAAATACTTTGGAGGTAATTTCGATAGAAGTGAAAGAAGCGAAAGGGTGGTACCTGAGCAAACAATAAGTTAACAAAAAACCTATGAGACAAGCTCGTTTAATAGATAAGTATCTAGCAACCAGAATAGCAAAGTCATAACAGTTCAATAATAAACTACGGTCACAAATTAAGTATCATCCATTCCTAGTTCCCCTCCTATCAAAAATACTTACAGTACAGTTGTATAGGAAAGGTTGGAAGTGGCAAGAAGAATCTTTAGAATGTTGGATACAGAAAAAAATGGATTCATTACAGAAAAGCATGTAAGTTTGAAAGCAAATAATTTAGGTTCCTTCATTGCTTCAGGAAACATATAAATTAATGGGAATGTCAATTGAACCAACACAAGAAGATGTAGAATTATGGATGGAAATGGCTGATGAAGATAGAGATGGAAAGGTGTTTCTAAAGGACTATGAAGCATTAGTAATAAGAAGTCTAAAGTAATAAGGAATTGTTTTAGAATGATTCATATAAATCAAAATTTAATAGTTAACTTTATTAAAGATCAAAGAGAAATTGTTTTAGCTCCTCTTAAACCATCTAAGGCTTGATTTCTAATTTATTGTTTATTGAATTGATTAATTGTAATGATAAATAGTTCTTATATATATTAGAATCATTTAGGAGTCATAAATCTAATGAATTCATCATAACTAAATTTGCCATCTTTATCCAAATCGGCTTTGAGGAATAGATCATCTAAATCGTTATCTGGTAGTTTCTATTAGCCTAATTTAACTAAGCCTAATTGTATGTCTGTTTTAGAAAGAAATCCATCTTTATCTAAATCAAGTAAATTAAATGCTTAATTCAATTCTTCATTTGTTTCTTCTTCTCTCATCCTCTTACCCATCAATCCAATAAATTCATCAAAATCCACTTCTCCATTTCCATCAACATCTACTTCTTCTATCATTTCTTTCAATTACTAAGGAGTAGGATTTTCTCCGCATTCTTTCATTAGATTACCTATTTCATTTGTTGAAATAGTTCCTCCTCCATCCTTATCGAACATAGCAAAGAGCTCTTTAAATTACTTGATTTACTCTTGATTAAAATTATAAGTATTCATTAATATTTTTATAATTTTGCTGGACACACAAACAAAGGCTGATGTCGATACTATTAGCTTGTAACTGATTTTGCTTAAAAAGGCAAAATTATTTGATTTATGCATTGGAGATCCTCCTGCTTTCTCTTTTTGCATTCTTATCGATCCACTGATTGAGTTAAATCAGGCATTTCTCGAAAAGAAGATTAATACATTGTTTTCATTGGAATTGATAAATTTCTAATGATTTTATAAATTATGCATACACTTTTAATACTTAATCCATCTAATTTTACTTAAAAATAGCAGGCTGTGGTTCTATCTTCAATCTCTAATAAACCTTCTAATTCTGAGTTTCCAATTATCTTATTTTTAAAGGACCCGTATGTCTCTCATAAGGTCTTTTGAATAACACATTCTTTTATTTAGGCTTATCTGCAAAGAACTCTTAATATCTGGTGCTCCCTTCAAATGATGAATGATAAGCCACTCTAGAATTAGATGATCGAACTGGAGTTCCAGTTAAACTGAATCCTCTATATTACCTTTAATTGCTTGTAACAAACTAGTTTGGCAAACCTTACATTTACCGATAAGAATTCTCAAAAGTCTCGTAAAAGCTTCGACTTACAGTGATTGGAGTATCTCTTACGCTTACCTTTGGAGTTAACGATCTTTTTCGATAAGATGTAGACAATTGAAATCTTGGATTTTTGCATTAACAATTTCCACATTAACAAAGTGCACACACACACATATTTAGATTATGTTTAAAGTAATCAAAATTATGTTTCACTGTTTTTTCATCAATCTGGTATCCAACTTTTTAGGCTTCTAGCATAACATCTTCAATGCTCATCTGTATTATAATATATTTTATAATAACGTAATAATTATTAAACATTTTTACTCTGATGTCATTAGCTATAATGGGTAATTAGAGATATAAAGCTAATTTTATATACATTTAAGTACTTATTCATATCTTATGATATTTATATTGGATATCTAACCGAATAAATCTTTAGAGTTTCAAAAAAGAATAAAAAGATCCTTCAAATTACCCTAATATAGTTGGTTGTGTTGGAAATCCTTTGAATTTGTTGGTTTCATTTAGGATGTGAGTATTATGGTAGTTTAATTTAAGGAAAGATTTGATAATTTGTATTTTATAGAGTGAATAGAAAAAAGAAATTAAGAGATTTTATATTAGAAAAGATTCAAAACCTTTTTAGTGACATTCTTTTACGATTTCCTTTTTGTACTATAGATAATAATGTTTTGATACTCAATTCTACAATTTTGATTGAATAAGTTTCAACAAAGTAATTTAATTAAATATTGTTGTTATTACTTAATATAATTATATACAAATAATTATCACACTAAATCTTTAACATGTTTTAGAATGATAATTGTAATTTATATTTGGTGTTAATTGTTTTATTATATTAAGAATTTAAAAGAACTTTTGATAATAGAAATATTAGTTTCTGTTAAATAATAAACTGAGAAAATAAATAATATCTATTACATTATTTTGATTTATTTGATATGAAAATTAAATGAACTAAAAAAAATAAAAATATTAATAGAGCATAATATCTTAACTTTTATCAGAAACACTGGATACATACAAATCAACTTAGAAAAATGAAATGAAAATTTAAGATGCTAATTTTGTTGTTATTGGGTGAATAATATTATTTTAATGAAGATATTTATCATTGATAAAATTACATTTTTTAGCTAGATTAGGATCCTAATTACATTGCAAAAGTACTCTTTACAAATGAATTGATAACTTTAATTAATAAATAATTAAAATAATGCATTTTGAAAAGTAAATAAATTTTTAAATAAATAATCTAAATAAAAGGTTTAGATATTTAAAGAATATGATATCAAAATAACCAAAACCAGAGAAAAAGAGAAGGTAGATAATAATTTTAATATCAATAATAATTATTGATTCTTTAATTATTTCTGTTTAGTAAAGGTTATGGTAACTCGATAAATTTAAACCTCTAAGAATCGTCTATTTTTGGACATTTAATCATCAAATTATTTATGGTAAATATGTTAGATTATTGGACTTTTTTTGTTATCCTTACATAAAATTCTGTATTCCATTTATACTCAATCTAATGCTTTCACTTGAAGGGATTTGCTTAAATTTACTATTGTCTTTTGGATAGATTGTTTTTCGAAATTAATTGATTTAAATTTACCTGTCTTTCAATTAGGTGGAGCTTGCCAATTATCATCTTGCTCCATCACTATACTCTTATTTTAACTCATCTTAATCATTCTCCAAATATGATTCAACTTGTTAGAGGTTTTTGATGACTGATCTTCTTGTTCCACTTTTCTATTATTGATGTTTATATACCGCAACTATAATTTATTTATAAAGAATTTCATAGCATTTATCTTATATTAGCGTTTAAGTATTTAAATATGAATCTTTAAGGTGTAACATTTAAACTAACCTGAACACTTATTCATATTCCACATTATTGTCATTTAAATAATCATAATGTTCATGGTAAAGTTGCCCGCGATTTAACCTGGAGTTGGCAAATAAACCAATGAATTGAGCTCAATTCGACATCTAAATTATTCAGATTGAGAGACCTTCGAAGTTTTTATCTTTTAAATTGTAGCGATAGATAACAAAAACTTGGTGGATTGTGTTTGATAGCTAATTTGAGTACTATTTTTTATATTATATTAATAACATAAAAATTTTCATATGAGTTTTTGTTTTGAGAAATTTATTTAAATTTACTTACCATCTAAATCTAATCCATTGTTATTAGCCAAAACAGTTATAGCCACTTCTGTGCTTGGGTACTTGAGAATGGCCATGTACTTCGTAGCATTAGTGACTAATTTTGATAATCTAATGTTTCCATAATCTTAAAGATATTGTTATAAAACTGGTATTTGACATGAATTTTTTGTTAAGTTAGAAACCTAAATAGTATCGCAAGGAGGTGCCAAAGTATAAGTACTATCAGGTTTGATTCTATGTGTTTCTTCACCTCCCTAAAAGTACTCTTCTTGAGTTTTGACATCCTAAGTAAATTCTCCAGGTTTAGTTGGTTAAGTCTTAAGTGAAATTTCTTCATAATTCGAAAAAAATATCTAATTATGAATAATGTCCTTACTTTAATGGATTGCCCATAAAACATGATATCATTTAGGGATTCCTTAGCAATAGCAGCATGATCTTAAGTAACATATTAGATAAGAGCACTAGATCTCTCCTTTAAATATATCATTTTATCAATGTTGCCATAAATACTAAATAAGTTGTAGAGCATTTGAGAAGTGACAACTTTTTTGTCGAACCATCTTGCATAAATTACTCTTGATTTTCTCACAGCTAGAGTATTAAAATTCTTTTACTTTGCAAAAATTTTGGATTGATGTATTCTTCAATTTTGTCTGCACTTTATTACATTTTATCTAATTATTATTTTTCTACTTATTGTAAGGTCTGACTCTTGGATACTGGCATTCTGATGATTTTATTTTTGAATTAATCTAAATTGGAAGATGAAGTGGGTTAGGAAGAGGTTTATGATAGATTTGATGGTTATTATTAGGATTAGAATTATTATTATTGAGATTTTTCATTATTTTGAAAGGCATTTTAGAAATTATTAATTTATTTATTGTCTGAATTCTAATCAAAATATTTGAGGAATTCATTTTATTCTTCATCTTAATTGTCATCATCATCGTCACAATTCTCAGATCCTACGATTTCGTCATCGGATTCTCTTAAACCTAGACCTTAGAAGTTCAAATCATCATCTTCGATTTTTTACTCTTAACTATTGAATAAGCTTTCTGTATTGTTTTCTCTATAACTTTAGATAAATTCTATTTAATCTGTTTTTTTCTTCTGATCTGCTGGCAAGGTCAGTTTCTTTCGATTAGATTACTTTGATTAGATACTTACTGATTAGGTTTCTTCTTATTTGTTAACACCCTATAAGAAGTTTTGATATTAATCAGTGAGGTGTTGGAAGTTTGCTTAATATTCATATATTTAATTCAACAACTACTATTGTTTTTCTATTTAAGACTATAAGTCAGATGAAGAAATCATGGTTGTTGAGAATCCTTCAGCACTTACTTACTATAGTTATCCCATCAATTAATTTATTTATTGTATCTATTAGGACATTTGATGCTGAAACTGCATTTATGATTATAGAAACTATATTGGGATGGGCTATTGAGGTGGCTTAGGAGCTGGTTGCTATTATTTACGTAATAAAGTGTAATCTACATAAATTTAAGAATATACCAACACCCCCAGTATTATTTTCTTAAAATGTGATGTATGTAAGCTTACTAGCATACACATTCATTGTTAATTATGCATCATCACAAAAAAGCTTATCATTCATTGATTATCTTGCCTTAATCGCAGATTCTGGATTATCGAATTCGATAAATGTTTTCCATGTCAATGATCTTTCAAATATGAGCATCTATATAATTGAAAGTATCTTACTCTTTAGATGGTGCCGAATTGGCTGAAGACTTTGAAATACTTGTCATGTCCAAGAGTTTTATTAGCTTTGTTGGTAATCACAACTAAAATCACGTTGGTGGTGTCTTAATTCATTAATTAATTAATAAAGTTTTTTCATGTTTTATAAAAAATTAAATAAGATAGTTTTCACTTTGTCTTAATAAAACTATTAGATTTCATTCCAGATCCACAATCTCTTCTTAGACCCTCAACTAATTAATTCTTGAGAACTCGAGATTCCTGTAATGAATTCTACAACTTCACTTCCAAACTGTTATTTTACTCAGCCATTTATTCCAACTACTTCTACATTCTGCTAATCTCTAATCGCAAGCCTATAATGATTAATACATAGATTACCTTCTGCTCTACTTTATTCCCTTTCTGCTCTCTCTGTTTGTTTTTCACAATTATTAGTTGTTCTAGTAAATTTATCTTTCCAATTTTCTAACTCCTTTTATCTATCCAACAACTTATGTTCTAAAGTCTATTTCTCCTTCAACAATTGATCCTCTACTAATCTCTATTGATCTTAGTGATTGTGCAATTATTAATTTTCATTAATTAGACCTATTATTGTTTAAGAATAATTTTACTTGTAATCCTACTTTCTAATTGTTTGATTTCATTTTATTGTCTTTGCAATTATTATTTCACTTTTTGTTATTCTAACGCTGCTTGTTTCATTTAATCTTGAAATGGTTTTTATGCATCATTAAATAATCTCTATTACATTTGTAATTCCCTTTTCATTTATTCTTAAGTTTCTCTAATTTCCTGAGCTGATTCTAATCTGATCAAAGATACTTCATTCTCCTTTTCATATTATGCCTATTTCACTTAATCTAGTAATGAGCTAATTCTCTAATCCTTCTCTTTTACTTCTTAATTCAATTGTTCATTTTTATCTTACAATTTTCTTATCTTCATTTCTAATTCACATGTTTATTTAGTTGAATCAACATGAAATTTGATATTTTCTAAACTTCTTTCTCTAAATCTGGGTAACTCCTTCAATTTCTGTTGCAATTCATCTATTTTAGTTTCATTTAATTATTAAACAGATTGTAATTTCTCATTAGCCTTTTCCAATTCTGCAATTCTAGCTTTATTTGTAATCTCATCCTTTTTCATCTTCTATTATAATAAGAATTGTTATTCTGTCAATTAATTATTCTTTTTGTTCAATTACTCAAATTCTTATTAAATATTTTCTGCCTCTCCTTAGAGTGACTTATATTGTTACAACTTTAGTTTCTAGACTTCATTTTGTAGATTATTTATAGTTTATCTAGCTGACTTCAATTCTTCAATTATAGGCAAAGTGGAATTTTTCATATTTTAATTCACCTTCTAATTTAAATCAACCTTGATAACTTCCAATGTATCCATCTTATTTTACACCTCCACTTGATGCTATTATTTCAATTTCTCGATTTTCTACTCATTCATTTCATTCTGTTTTTCCAATAATTCTCTATATTTCTCATCCTATTGTTTGATTAAACTCTTAAACTCTTCAATCCTGTTACTATCTTTTTGAATTGTATTTTATAAATTATTATTTTATTCTAACAGCATGGAAACCTTATTTTACAATTCCTATATTTTTAATTGTTATTCATTATTAGAATGAGTGAGAGTCTCAATTTACTTGCCTCTTTTCCTTGCCAAATGTCCAAGTGATGCATCTGTTGACCATTGCTTCTCTGAAACAATTAATTTTTCTCTGAGGTCATTGATAATTGCGTCCTTATCCTTCAATTGCTCTTAAAGTTACAACTATAAATTCGATATCTAAATTACATTATAGTCTTACTTGAATAGCCTTCTATTGTATATCATCGTTCATTCTCTTTTCAACCTAATAACGATCACGCACTTATTGCTCTAGAGTCTGTATAGTCTTATTTTAATCTCCATTGATAATCTTCTAATCCTATTTGAGCTTCTCTAAGACCTTGACTACCTTCTCATTTTCTTCCAACAACATTCCTATTTATTAATCTTTCTTTTCACTCGATTATCTTAACTAATTGATATCATTCAGAGCATCTTAAAACTACCTACCTACTTTGGCAGCCTCCATAGTAGCATCATTCAATTGTGCTTGTTGTCTCTATATAATGATCTCAGACTGTTTGATTTTATACTCCAATTCTTAGATTTTCTTCTCCTGTAGTTTCTTAGCTGCTTATTCTCTGGATAGTTCAGAAACCTCTTGCATAGTACGTGAAGGACTAGCATGGTAAGCTAACTAACTACCATCATTTTTAAAATGGTGACTCATCGTTATAACTGTAGAATTAATATTATTTGTAATTGGTTAGTTAATTGTGTTCAAACAACAATATTTCAATACTAATATTAATAAATCCCTGTTTAGATATTTGATCATCTCCACAAATTCGATATCTATAACATCTTTGATATTTATAAAATGAGTAAAAAATCGTAGCAATATGTAGAATTAGTTATTAACTTTAATTTAATTTTTATTATCAAATCAATTTATAATACAGTATTCATTCAAAATTTGTAGAATTAATTATAAGAAATATGCTTAAATATCAACCAGATTTACAGAATTTCAATCGTTTTCAACATCAAATTCATTAAACTAGCAAGTCTAACAACTTTTAGATGCATATTCACTTGATCTAAAAATTGGTTGAAATGCCTTTCTCTCAAAATGATATAATCACTCTCCTACTCTAAGCACTAAATAACCTAGCAGTTAATTATTATAAGTAATGTTCTTTTCTTCTAATTGCTTAGATTTGATTTATTTGCTAATAAAATCTTTAAGTTCATGAGATCTCACCTACTGAAAAATGATCAATTACACTGTAATTAGTTTAGACAGAAAGTGATTAAGTTTATTGTCCAATTAAACATGGCAAAGATGAAATTACAATTAGGATCATATGGCAAAGCCTTTCTTCTAGCTGAATAAGCCATGAGTACACTAGAAAAGGACCTAATTGATAGGTTGAAACAAAGAGACTCAAAAATTGAAGACGCCATGCTACTCATCAATGGCTATTTAATTTTAGCTAAATCCTACGAGTTTTCATCAGACTATGATATTCAGTACATCCAAAGCAAAAGCGTATGGGCTCAGAGAAACTAATAAGATTAATTTTGTAAATTCTATTTAAATGCAAAATAATTGGCAATTAAATATTTAGGAAACAACAATAAGCTCATCTAAAAATTACAATATTCGTGTTCTCATCGTGTCTAAAATCCCAAAACTCCTCAACCAATACCGTAATTAATTTCAAGACAATAGTTGAATCAATTAATTTAATTATTGAAATTGGTAAAAGGTAGAGTCATTATAGTCATACAACCAGAAAAACCTCTGATCAGAAGATGCTTAAAGGGATCAATAGACACTCATAAAACCACATCGACATAGAACAGTCAAGTCGATATGTCTAAACCATACATCAAGCAATTTAGAGTGAGATGTAAATAAAACAGTCATCACGAGATTAATTCTTCCGATGAAACTACAAAAGAGAAAATGCAGAATTGTGATACCCCTATTTCTCAATATAAATAATTAGAAACTATTATTCAAAAGAAGGTTGAAGAGTAATTGACTATGAAATTGAATGCTAAATAATAGAATAATCTTGAAGAATAAAAGAAATTGTAGGAGTAGAATTAACAAATATCTAATTTATATGATTAAATTCAACAGCTTAAGGAATAACTCAAATAAAAAGAGGTATTACAAGAGTAACAAAAAGTGCAAATTGAACTCTTACAAGCTCATAATAAGCAGTAGTTATTAAAGAATGCAAAATCCATCTAGAGTCCTATCAAAAAGAATAATTTTATAAAGGAATTTTAAATATCAAGTGAATAAAAATAATCTCTGGTTTAAAGTGCCATCCAAATCAAAAGAGCTGAAATTAATGAATTCAATACTGAATAAACACCTATCAAATTGGTAAACTCTATTATTGGGGAATTCTAAACTCCTGGAAATAAGAGTTCCATTGCAGAATTTTAAACCAACAAAAAAAGCACGCCTCCCTTTAGTTTTAGTTTCCACAAAAATTAATAGCAATCAATAGATGTGCCATTAACTCCCCCTCCAAATGTCACTTAAGATAACACTCTTGATCAATCCCAACAATGGCCATCTCAAAAATTATAATACATCAGTATAATTGAATTTGAAGAATCTATGAATTTCTCAATCACCTATTGTAAGTAAATTTATAAATTTTAGAATCCAATTAGGAACATTATTCCATTTAATTATAACCTAATGAAATCTATTAGATTTAAGTAGAGAGTGAATTATCCTATACAATTGAAATATCTCTAGTTACTAATAAAGCAAGTCCAAAGTTAGAGGACTTTTGCATTTTAATCTAGGTTAACATAAATTCGTAAAGAATCAGTGAATTAATAGAAATAAGCTCTTTAGCTGAAATGCTATAACACACAGTAAATAACATTTGTATTCCTTACCCTTTGAAATACATAACTTCCTATAAGCTTTTTATTTAATACCTTTTGATTCCCTTCATTTAGGTATAAATGGAAAACAAATAATATAAGATTGCCTTGTATTCAATTCCTCAAGGTATGTTTAGCAATAGTTAATGCATTAATCTATATGGTGATCAATGCGAATGGTCTATGTTTTTTATAGAAAATTTTAAATTCAAAGTGGTTATTTATCAGAATAAAATCAATATCTAGGACTTTGAGATAATCTTAGATTAATCGTCATTTGATGAGTATTTTGAGTATTTGAACTTTGACTAGAATAGTTAATAGGAGATGTAAAATATATTGAATTCAATGAAGAAGATTCAATCATCCTCACATAATTATTTCAAACTTCCAAGTGTTAAAATAAAAGATAAAGATAAATTAATAAAGTTTATCAACAATTGTCTAAACTAAATTGAAACACTAATTAACGAATAGAAATAAAAAGATGTTAAGCATTATTTAAAGGAGAATTTAATTGCCCTGAATTTAGATGTCATTGACAAATGTAAAATAAGAGCATCTTTAGTTTAAAAGATAAATGGTAGAATTGACCTAATATTAAAGAATTTCTATTAAACTCATTTGTCTTAAGATTTACTTGGATTTGCAGGTAGTTCCATTTAGATTACAGATGAATTTATTTAAGATAAATTTCATATTGACTTCTTCACATTAAATGAAAGTGAGAAATAATTCATTCTTAAAAAAATTACTAACTATTTCAAATTGCATGCTTATAATAGTTTGTAAGATGGTACTGATTTGGATTGGAAAAATGAGAATCCAATATAATAAATAGACTAAAACTTCGGTGGAACGCATAAAATCATGATAGTAGATCAATATAGAACTCCTATTAACTTTACTTTGATAGGAGTTCATGATAGGCCAGAATTCGTAAGGGTGGACATGTTTGACACTGAAAAGGTTCAATAAAATGGGCTCTTGTTCTTTGTCAATGAGGATCTATGGAGAAGGAGAGAGGTTCAACCATCTGTGAAGAAGAGCAAATAGTCAAAATACAATAAGGAATTCGCAATTGCTGAAAAATATTATTTGAATGAGGTGCTGTAGGAGGGAGGTTGGAGAGTGATTGAAAAATTGATAATACCTAAGAATTCGATCTAAATAAATCAAGAGGGGAAAATACATCGGTTAGAATAATTTTTGAATTGGAAATCAATTTACGAAAATTGATTATAATTAATATATGTATATATGTAGTATTTGTAATTGCTTTCTTGCTTATAAATAAGATGAAATTTACAAGTACCCTTTGAGGGAAGGAGAACAATTGAAGTATTTATTGAGAGTTTATTAGTTTTTTGACATTTAAGATGATAGAGAATTGCAAAGAAGATCAATTCAAAAAATATGATTTATTTAGTCATCTATATTGTAAATTCTGCGATTAAGAGATAGGAATGAGAATAGGAAAGGATTTCTCTATTTATAAATGCCAACTTTAAGAGTCTTTGGGGTCTATAAATATTGGAGTGTATTCATTGAAACAAGAACTCTTGCAAAAGATATCACAAATGCTCGACAAAACTTGTTATTAGTGTTATCTCTAACCCTTACTAAAGAAAGAATTAACTAATGTATAAATCATTCCAAATGTAAATGCAGCAATCATAATCCATTAAGTAGAATCCCGAGTATTGCTATTGGGGAAAAATGGCTTATACAATGATTTAGCATAGAAGTTATGGAAGTAAACATCTGGAAATGTGTTGTTGATTTTGTATGACAAAGAGGAAACTAATTAAGAAGAATTAGTACACAATTTAGCTACTCAAGGAGAGTAGCCATAGATTGCTGAACTGTTTCAATCTTAGAATTTAGTATTTTTCACTAAGCTTCTAAATTTGAATTCGATCTTATAGAAGTATTTTGCAAAATCGTATAATCAATGTTACCCAATTGATATTGTAAAGAAGGAAGAGGATGTCACAAATGAAAAGTGTCTTCTCTTGACATACTATTACTAAAGATATAAATAAATAGATCATCCAACTCAAGATGATAAATTGACACTGTCTTTAATAAAATAGTCTCGTAAGTAGTTAAAATTTGAATGTAAAGTTTAATGAATTAGTTAATATAATAATAATAATAATAAAAGAAAATATTAAGAATAATTAATTTTAAAAGAATATTTATTATTGCATGATTTTCATCTTTAATCTATACAAATATGTATTAATATTTACATAAATTGGTTGTGCCTTTGTGTTTTATTATCATTATTAATTAAAATGTTACTTGAGAACATTAAAGTAATTAGAATTAATTATTTTAGGTTGCCATTCGAATAAGACCTTTAAACGCCAGGGATCTTGAGATTTCAGATAAGAGTACCCTCAAGGTTACAGATCAAGAGACCTTAGTAGCAATTCCTCCGGTAGAGGCAGAAGTTAAGTAGGTCAAAAAGACCTATAAATTCAACTGGGTTTTTGACTAAATAGCCTCTCAAAAGGATTTATTTGAAAAGTCCCTAGAATATTAGGTGCTTTCCGTGTTGGATGGAATTAATGTTACTCTTTTTAGTTACGGTGCTTCTGGAACAGGAAAAACACATACGTAATTATTTTGAGTATTTTAAGACTTATGAAAATGAATGACGATTATGGATTATTGATACGAGCACTTAATCAACTCTTTTAAACGATTCACAACAGAAAAAGGAAGATTCAGATGAAATTTTCATATATAGAAATCCAATCGGAGTAACTCTATGATCTATTAAACAATATGAATGGAAACCTCGACATTAAAGACGATGTAGAGAAAGGAGTAGTAATAAATGGAATGCGAGAAATTGATGTTACGAGTACTTAAGAGGTGATCAACTTGATATAGTATGGAAAACGACAAAAATCATCAAAGTAACATGAAGTTCTAATATTTACTAACTACATACAGGATATGGTTGGTTAAAACAATGAAATCTAGGTTTCTAAATTTATAGTCGCAGATCTAGCTTGTCTTGATAAAGGTGGACAAAAGTCTGCTTCAATATAGGTTCTTAATGACTGTATTTCATTACTAAGTGAGGCTTAGACTAAAAAGATTTAGCCTTTCATTCCCTATAGAAATAGCAAATTAACTAAAATACTCAAAGATTCTTTCGGTGGGAATTCCAAAACTTTAATTATTGGATGTGTCTCTCCTTCAGTGGCAAATTATGAGGAAACCATCTAAACCCTAGAATATTGCTAGATGGCTGTTGGGATCTTCAATTAGGGGACCATCAAGACCATACAATAAAGTAACCAGCATGAAGATGTTAAATCAATTTACAATTAATTAGTAAATGAGAATGCAGAGCTAAAGAAGCAATTAAATAACAAGTCCAATTAAAAACCATAAAATAATGAAAAGGAATAAACCAAATTGTATGAAGAGAATATAATTGAACACTTTAATAATGAATAAGATATCAATTAATCTATTTTCAAGTACTAATGGGAAATAGAGTAGATTAAATTCAATGTGAACGAAAACTAAGAAAATCTATAGCGTGTTGATGGAATAGACAGAAATTCAGCAGATTCTTTAAGGTTTTAAATTGAATAGGATCTTAAATAAATACATAATTATTAGGAATAACTAGTTAAGTTTTAAAAATAAGCAAGCAATTTCTCCATCCAAAGAAGAGCTTTAGAGGAAGTAATGTTATTTAATTAAATTTAGAATGTCAATTAAAGTAATTTATCTAATTCTTATAAATTATACTTAACAAATCTGATTGAAAAACATATTCTAAGATTAGAAGTATTTGAAATTAAACTTAAAGAATAAATAAATGAGTTGCATAGGTCATAACACGAGAGGATTATGGCTATATAAAGAAGTTAAATTACTTTGAGAGATAGAATTATTGCTGATCAGAGGAAACATTTAATATCACATGGCAAAAACCGATCAGTTTAACATTATTCTCAAATTGACACCACAACTGAAGTCATTGAGGGAACCAAGGCCAAACTCAAGCATTATCCATTGCCAAAAGTTAAAGGTATTTATGATTGTTATCATCTAGACCATTATTTTAATAAACAAGCCTATTTGTAAAGAAAGGAATCCCCAAAATCAATCTTCAGCCCAAGGCTTCAAACACCTTTGCAACTGAAAGAGAAGAAACCGTATATCCCTAAAACACCTCACACAAAAATACTTGATAATCTTTCCACACCTATTATACCTAAATCAAATCCTTTGGCAAAAGCACCTCCTTAAAAATTGATTGATTCTTAATCAATGGTAGCCTTACCTTTAATAACAACCAATAGAAATTTATCTAAATTTGTTTATGACTGGAGAGGTGGTGGTTATAAGTTTATAGAGGACCAAAAAAAAATACCTTCATAAAGAGAACTTAAGAAGGTTATTTCATCAAAACAACACACTTAGTAAAGTCTTGACAAATCATTTTTCACTACTTCAAGTCGAAGTAAATAAATATTATAATTATTAGGCACTTCTGCAAAAAGAGTATCCTTTAAGCAAAGTCTTTTGCTACCTGGAAAAGTGCACGAGTCCCCTTATGTTAAAGGATTTATTAATAAAGAAATTCAAAGAAAGATGAAATTAAAATAATTGAATTAAAAAATGATGAAAGCTACTAAAAATAAATGATTTATCTTATATATCTTGTTTATATATATGTATTATTCATAGTTGATATTATTCTAAGAATACAGATTAGTCAACTGATTAGATAATGATAATTATTATTATAGTAAATTTATCATTGTGATTGCTCATAGTAGTCTCATCTTATGTTGTATATCTATAGGATATGGAATATAGCATTTCTTTCATTTAAAATATAATTCTTACTACTAAAATACTGAATCATTTTCAAAATTTGATTTATTTAATGTCAAGGCCGACTTAATTTCGATTAAGCGAAATATTCTTTTTTTAATTTTAACTAAAAAATTACAAATATTCATGATTTCAATGAACTCTAGTATTATAAAATTTATCCATTAGCTAAAGCTGATTCTTAATTTAATTAATGATTAAGAGAAAGCAAAATAAAATTAGATTCATGAATAAAATTATATTGCTCAAATAAATCAATTTACAAACATCTTTGATATACTTCCTAGAATCAATAAGTAAATGCGACCATATTTATAAGAAGTGCATATTAATGTAGATGGCTTTTTAAGATAATTGACACATTGATATAAATAATCATAAATCGTCTTCTTTGTAGGCTGATGTTATCACTTTGATCTCTTATTCAATTACTGTAATTTCATTAAGCAATTCTTCATATTATTTTGGAGTAAGATTCCTTGGAATTAGAATAATGTTATTACTTTCCCTATTCAGTATCTAAATAGGCAATAATGTGATCGACCTATTGAATCATTTCTTATAATTTCTCATAATCTTATTTAAATTGTATTCTTTCCCTCCATGACTTGATTTCATCAAAGCCTTGCTATGACTAGGCCACGGCAATTGTAATTAAAACGATAAATACAATAATAATTTTCATTTGATAATTTAAATAGTTATCAATAAAAAGGAAAATATGAAATAATGGAAAGACTTAGTTATGAGGATTTAATTGGAGATTAAGTTTCTTGTTTTATCGTTTTGAGAATCCAATTTTGTATAAACTATAATATTCGAAAAATAATATAATTAAAATGAGTGGCGTATAAATCAAAGGACCACAAAATATTTTGAGAAAACACAAAACAGAACCTGATAAATTGAGTAGATTTCATTCCAGTGATATGAGAGGTACTTTGTAGGTTCTTATTTAGGACCATTTAAGTACGAACCTCTATAAAACATCTCTCACCCTATACAACCTGATGATGATGTTTCCGTCAGAGATCCAACTTTAAGGACAGTGGATAAATCAAAGCTTTCGCAATCCCAATATTAAATTAACTCTATACGATCGAAGACTCCAATTAGCGAACCAGATGAGAGTCCGTTTATGTTGACATTTCCATAGAGGTAACTGGAAACCACACGAAAAAGAAGCAAAAGCAAACTAATTATGTACTTTATAGAAAGGATCAGAAAAAGATTTAAAATAGATAGTAAGGCTAAATAATTTTAATATTTGTTCGATTAAGAAACCAATTCAAAAGATTATAATTGTACACTTTATGAATTTAAATAGAGGGACTTTGTTACCTTCGTCATGGATCTTACAAGCTTGGAACTTGACATTTTATTTAATTTTGAATTTGATGATTGTCCATGTTCCTCTGTCAACAACTTTGATCGTAAAGGATTTGAATTACGTTTTCTTGGTATTTAAATGTCTGGACGTTGGAGTTCAATTGTGCAGTTCTTTCACAGAGAATGGACAATTCATTACAAACTTCAAATTGATTTAAATCCGATATAACAAATAATTGTTGTTGCATGACTCAGTATAATATCCAAAGTTATTGCTTAGTTCACTATTTTAGGATTGATCTTCTTGAATACCTTAGCATCGAGTTTTAAATTCTACGTACTCACAGCAGTATTGTTGAGTTTAATCAAGCGATTTTATGAGATTGAGATACACTTGAAATTTGAATTCAATTTATTTCATCCTATAGTTTTGGTGATAAATTCAATAATTAAGATGATTCTAATCTTCCATGTGATCACTTGCTATCAATATGGATTATTCAACCAATATCATGAACACTTTGGCTCTTACTTATCCTCTCTTAATATGATTGTATCAATCTATGCTTTCAATTCCAACTATGTACCTGATGAATAGGAGGAATTGCTATTCAATTGTTTAGTCAATTTTAGTGCCATCATTATTTTTGCTTACTTTTTAACCCAATTTATGTATTTATTCAAGAGCAATAGAATATCTGAACAACTCAGTGAGTTTTTAGCAATAAATAAATTAGATTCCAATTTGAAATTCAAAATTACTAACCATATCTTTAATCAACCAAAATTCTATCACAATTAATTTATATCCAAATTGTCAGGTTAACTGCTTCAAGAATTCAATCACATTCAGAGATCCTAATTACTTACTAAATATTTTAAATTCTATAATCAACATACAATAAACACACTCATCAATTATTGCGAAGACATGATATGCTAGCCTAACTAAGTCATAGTGACTGAATCAGAACACGATGATTGTTCTTTGTACTTCATCTTGGAAGGCAATTTTAAAGTAGTCAATAAGATGGGAGTTTAATTATAAATATTGGGAGTATTTCAAATTATTATTAATAGTCAACCCAAACTTTTGGTGAAATTTCTTTTTACACTCAATTGCCCAGATCTGCAACGGTAATAAGTGAAGGTGTATGCAGATTGCTAAGAATCAGAAGGGAAGTCTTCCTTAAATTGCTAACATTTAGTGACAAAGTACATTTTACACCTATTCACTAAGCAATACTTCTATAATCTTAAAGATCGCATATTGATTCACAAGGACATGCCTTGTTTATGTTTCTGTTGCCAACAAAGTGATCATCTAGTGACTAAGTGTCCTTTATTGACCTATAGACCAGACAAGGAAAAAGTGATAAAGACCTACATCTACCCTATTAAAAACCTCAGGAAAAAATGTAAGATTCTATTCCTCATTTCTAGTTGATAGAAAGATAAACAGAGAAATTAAGGCTTATGATTTCTTGAAAGATGCCGAGGCTAATCAGGATTATTTGTTGTAGTTGTATTCGGATAACCATTTTCAATCCTCCAATCAGTTTAGTTAATCCAATCTACCATATGATGATGTATATATTAAAGATTCCTATGCTTCTGCATAGAGTTTTAGTAGAGTAAGCAGAGAGAAATCGTTGTTGAAGAGCACCTCGTTACTAAAGGAGAAATCTATCTATGAATAACAACAGTCTTTGATAAATGACGTGTAAGATATATATATATAATTTTATCTCAAAGCTTTTTGGAAACTGCAGACAATCAGTATATTGTACATTAAGGAGAGTTGGACGATGATAAGTTTGTCAGTTTGGTGAGAAAGGATTAATAAAAGAATACCTTTGCCACTGCTGGCTTTGGCAATCTGGGACAGCAATCAATTAAGGATCAAAAATCATTGAATGTCATTATCGAGAATGAGAGTTCAGAAAACTCTCCTTCCTTAGAGAATGTGTTAGAATAAGGCAATTAACCCCAAAGAAACAAAGATCCTAAGTTGACCTTCAATTACAATTTTGATAATCAGATGAGTGAATTACAGAATAAGTACTAATAGTATTAGAGGAATGTTTCAGAATCTATTAATAATTCTGTTCTTAGACAAGAAAATAGACAAACCTCCATCAGATAGAACTCTTCTAGATCCCAAACTTATAGTCCTCTTACTTCCAACAACATTACTGCTAATTCATATCGCTCACAAATCAAATAAAATGAAAACACTCAGACTCCTTCAGGAAAACCGAGGAGATCCTCCAATTCCAATTACACTGTCAGATCCATCTCCGGAATCAATAGGCAATATACTGATAGTCCAGAGCTACAAAGCAGAAAAGGAACCAATAGGAAAAAATCAACCAGAACTGGAACCAAGGTATCCGTTGCACCTTCTCAATTCTAACCTTTTAGTGGATTTGATGTAAATATTCTTAATAAATCATTAAAGAATCCTGTCATAACTGTGTTTGGGGACGACGACTTTGAGAAACTATACTTATTTGAAGTATATCTACCTTACAACAATTATGATATTGTCATTTACAAGTATACTCTAATGACCATCATTTTAGGTTTAATCAGTACAACAAACAAAATAGATTAAAGAAACTATCGAAATACTTTTTATCCTTTAAATTAGCAGTATAAATCTAGAGATTGAAAGCAAAGTAATAGTATATAAATTACGAATTAGACAAATTAAATAATGATGTTGATGATGATGATATATTTATTATGTATTGATAATTGTAGCTTTTATTTGTATTTTGATTTCTATTCTAAATTCTATAATAATTTATTGTTCAATTTTAATCCTAAACCCCTAAAAAATAAATAAAATTAATTCATGTTTATGCTATCAGTTTATCTCAAGAACTTTCACCAATTTATCATCTTCCCATTAAGCAATCTACACTTAACCTTTTTCATTCTTACTCTTCCCTATACCATGTCTTTTATTGTTTTTGAATTGCCCATCATAAAAGCTTTCGTCATTGCAAATAAATATCCCTTTTCCATCCATCTTGCCTTCCTTCATCTATCCTATGTAATTACCTTTCAGACTTCTAACATTCCCTTCAATCATCTAATCCTCATAAAATTAGCCTTCCAAAATAGTCCCTCCCTCTTAAATTATCATCACATCAGTACCAATATTCTACTTAACTTTGTTGGTTTTGGCAAAAAGTATCAATTTCCCTTACCCATGCATCTAGCCATCTTTTACCTATCCCTTGTAATAGAGAGAGTTGGTTATGAATATTGATCCTTCCCCTGTAATCTGTCCTTATTCCCAGTCTCCTTGATACTAGGCGCCTTCATTGAATACAATCGTCCCTTTTCCATGAGCTACCCCTTTGGAATGTTGACCATAGTAATATTGATAGTCCTAATCGCTCATGTAAATTGTACAGCCTTTACCTTCAAGCACATTATTTTTCCAAAAGCCTAAAAAGTACCTGTCCTGCCTATCAGAGACAAGCTCTCCATAACCGCTCTGTATAAATTCCTTCTCCCTTTAACCGCGATAGGACCCATTGAGTGCAAGAGTAAAGTCCTCTTTTTAATTTATTTTTTCTTTCCAAATTTATTTTAATTCAATGTCCTTTTCCAAAACTTCCATTATACATTCCTTCAATCGTTCATTTGTAATTTATGAGATCACCAAATTCTTATTTCTTTAACGAGCTACAAATAACTTTTGTTCTGTTTGAAATTAGTTTGTCGCCACAGTTGATCCCATTTTAAATAAATTTATTATAATGAAGGTGAAAAACAAATACATTAATGAAATTAAACACTACAACTACTTATTCAAGCGTTTGATTATGGATATACGGCATCGAGTAAAATGAAATGAAAACAATATAATACATAACCATTCAAGATTTATTCTTTTTTTCATCCTTTAAGGCTTAAATTCTCCAACTTTCAGAAAATTCATTTATTCTTGACATGAATTCCTAATGAAAGCCAACAGAACCCTAATTAACTGGTACCTTAAGCTTTGATTGATGTACTTATATTGTCTATGATTTATTATTTTATTGTCTTATTTGATTATTAGATTAAGATTTTGATTGCAAATTTGATAGATCTAATTTGAATTTAACACTATTGGTTTTAATTTCGAGATTTTTGTATTGAAATTTCCTCACACTCTCCAAAATGGAATCATTCTCAAATCTGTTAAGAAAGCAAAAACTAGATTCATCAGAATCATTTACAATAGAATTATCAGCATCATTGTCATTTCTTTCAAAATTATGTTGTTAAAATCCTTGCAACTTATCCTCTGATTCTAGGACACTTTCATCATTAAGCACTTCTTCATTATATATTTTTTCAATGTCAATCCCACTTCTCTTGATCGCTAAAACTAATTTGATTAACTTGGCTTCTTTCTCACTCATTTCTTGTAATTTAATCTGTATCTCTTTCAATTAGACAGTATCCTCACTATCAATTTGAATCGGGTTAATTGCATTAATGGTATTGATGGCATTAGTTGATTATTATTATTTCGATGATTTAAGTTGATTAATTGAATCAATCAAGAGATCTCTTTCTTTTTCAATAACTTTGTAATTGTTTAGACATAATTCCTTTTCTCGATTGATTTTGTCAATGATTTCGTTGAACTTAGATTCTTATTCGCACAATATCTCAATTGATATATTGTTCATCATTTCAAATAAATTATTGATAATTCTAATAGAGATGTCATTGATAGGAGTAGATTGGATGAATTGATGTTTGTACACATGTAATAGATTGCTTTATTTGAATAATTATTCTTTATAGATTTCCCATTTTGAATGATATTTTTTCTTGATGATGATCGATTGAATTTAAGTGTTAAGATTATGCAGTTCCTGATTTTTAGGTTTCCTTTGTGCTGGACTTTAAGAATCATTAGTGAGATTGGTATTTAGATTCTATTTGGATCTATATAATGAAATTTGAATTACAGTTGCTAAAGTAAAGTTGTTGAGAACAAATGACTATCACCAACAATCTTCCTTAATTTCTAGCCATTTTGCGAGGATTGAAGAGAATCGTCTTCAAATTACATGGTGCCCATTACACGACTTTTGGAGCTACAATTGGTGCGATTATTGGTGTTTTCTGAGAAGTTGTTTTTGGGTTATTTGTAGCGTTTCTCTTCAATCGATTTGGAAGTGGACACAGGTTGTTTGATGGTCAAACGCGATTGTTGAAACTTAGGAGGAATATGAAAGAAATTATTTTATTCTGGATAAATGTTAGGTTGAGATGACTATTTGGGTATCACTACTCTGACCAAGGTCTCTTTTACAGTGTTTTGAGGAACTCGTTGCATTTCTGGTAAATTTAATTAAAAATATTCATTCTAATAGAGGTGGTAATGCTGAACGGCAAGTGGGACACTGCATTTTGATGTCGATCCAACTGCGAAGACAAGAGGGATGGAACCAATGATTACAAGGAGTTTGCATGGCTTGTTTGAGTATCAGTTTTTCAGTGGGGGCTTCTGCAGTTAAGGGGTCTTCCATTAAGGAGGTCAAGCAGATTGCACATTCTTCCTAGAGAAATGAGAAAATGATGGGTACATGATCGTCTTATATATTAAGTGTTCTGTAATAATTGTACTGTTTAGGCAGGAAACATTTGGGGATGAATGATCTTGGGCCCAATTTGAATTGGATATAAAGGACAATTATTTGGAATAGGTACTCACTCAAATAGATCATGCAAAAAGCAAAGGAGGGTTCAAGGCCATGCAAGTTACTTGGACATCCTCTATTGTAGATCTAAAATATGATAATGATATACTTAGTAGAACATACTTGGGACCAAGATACCAAAAACAAAATAAGAGATGAATTTAGGGTTGTTACCAAGACGAATATTATGGATAATTTGTGGGAGTAGAATTAAGCCAGTTAAACAGATGAACCAATTATAATTGGAAAGGAAGTACATCAATACAAAATAGATGATGAGACTGAAATCTAATTTAATTTAGAGTGGCTTACAGAATTAAACAAAAAAGTAGGTGATTGCTCTTCTCATTCTTTGTTGGTCGAATAGGTCTTCCAGATGTCGACTTCTCCACACTATCCAAATCAACTTCATGTCACAGGTGGTTGCCAACAAGAAGTAGAAGAAAGCAGGTAAAACAAAGTATTAGAAGTATTGCTAGGGTTGATCACATAATTTACATAATTGATTAATGCTGAATAGAGATTTTGAAGACAGATGTAGGAATCTTGAACAGTCAAAAAACCAACTGCAAAAAAGGAGATCTAACATATATTTGATAGGTTTTACTTTGTTTGAGTCTTCGACATTCTCAATTAAAGCTTTGCACAGTTTTGTGACGAATAAAAATTAAGTAAAGCATATCATCACTGACATTGCACAATACATAATAATCCTTAATAAATAGTTTGTGGTGTCTAGAGTCAGATCCAGTTCAATATCAACGTCGCAACTTGAATCCAATGATTTATTATAAGTTTGTAAATGCGCTTTGATCTTAGCATGTTCCTTATCGTAGTTTTCACCTTCAAATTCGATATTGACAGTATATGCTATTTCGCATCTCTCTCTCGAATAATGGGTTCTCCTGAATTTGTAGGCCGTAGAATAGTTCAATACACTAATGTTCTCGAATGAACTAACATTAAATCACTCTTTACATATCACTCTCAGTGTAATTGGTCAATTTAAATATGCCGAATACCTGTCTCTATTCTTGGTATTTGGGGTTCAACAACTAAAACTCGAATCTGTCGATGAGATCATCACTATTTTGTTGTGAGCTATTTGACAAGAATATCATATAGGCATCTCCCTATTCAACTGACAAGTATTGGAATTATTGATCCTTTTTCAACGATGTCCACAATCCCTTGTATTCATACCCATACAGAATCTTCGACAAATCAGCAACATTTTATGGACGCTCCCCGAGTCCTACAACTAATTGCAACAAAATTAAGCATAACATTATAAAATTATTTATAATCTAACCTTCCCCTTTATTCACACCTATATAATTTAAATTTCAAATAAATGAAAACAATCTCAGAAAACAAGTCATTTGTTCAACACATCAAACAAAAACAAGACGAATTCAAAGTATATCACATACATATCCAAGAAAACCCTTCAATTCCCTGCCAAAAAAGAACCACTCCTCCTCCAATAACCTAATTTTACCTCGCTCACATCACCTAATCAACGAAGAGAACAAACACCCAATCAGAGAAAAGCCAAAATTGAAAGTACTCATCCCTTGTAAATAGGCGAAAACTCATGCTCTCCTACTCTCTTTCGCACTCCACAAATCAGTTTACATCATGAATACAACAAGAAGGGTGCTCATTAAAGATAACCTAGTCACAATAGAAGTCGCAATGAAAATATCTCCACTATCAAAGAAAGAAGAGAACATAATGCCGACTCTGTTACTAGGGATTACTCCAAAGTCTTAGAAGAAGTTATGAAAAAATATCGCCTCCTCAAAACAGAATTAGTTACTAAAGACAAAGAAGTCCAAAAAACACAATTCTATAAAGACGAATGGCTTAAAGAAAAGGTATGCACTCATTCTATCTAGAAACGCAATGAAATCATCTAAGAGAGAAACAAGAATTTGAAAATGAAATTGCTCAAAATCATGGAACTAGTCCAATAAGATTAATTACAATCAAATTTTGAATCTGAGGTACTTTTGTATTTGTATCGTGATAGTTAATAGGGTATCATAGCTGGTCTTTAGACAGAAAATAAATATTTACGTTAGATGTTGCATTTATATGATGTTACTGATGTTTCTGAATAACTCTAATAACTCGAAAGCGAACAAGATCATGAGGTTGATTAAATAGACAACATACTTAATGTATTCTTAGGTGATCTTAGAACCATTGAGAAAAATAGAAAAGAAAAGAAAGACAACTCATAACAAGGTTTTTATTTACAATCATCTTTAGCCCAATTTAATTCCTTATCCTTAACAGTACTTAACAAGCAATCCAGTTTAGTTGATTTATCAGAAGATAAATTGTTAATGGAATAATAATGAAATATTAAAATAGAATTTTTATAATTAAACTAAATAAATTCAATTCTTAAAATAATTCATTTCAAATTTAGGATAACTTTTACAATTAAGATATTAATCAATAATAGTTTCCAATGATTATTAATCAAACATCAGTTACCCTTATTGTTTTTATACAATTATGTGTAAATCAAACATTCAATTAAGATTAGGTAAAATGTACTAGAAGATGATTTCACCCTTTAGAAACTCAATTAATATAAAATTAGCAATATATATGATTTTATATCAACTAATGTTAAATGATCACTTCAAGATATATATCAACATTATAATAAGTATGGCAAAGTATTATATTTCAAGTTAGATTTGTAGTGCTTGTAGGTAGGAGTTCTTTACTTTTGTTATGTAAATGATCTAACTGGCAATGTTTTGTTGGGAGATTAATTAGTTTAAATGGTCATAATTCTTGGTCTAGGCTTAATATATTTCATGGTATGTTTTTATTTAATTTATTTTAATAATATTCCTAATTAATAAATGATTTAAATACCTTCATATTTAGTAAAAGAGTCAATATCTCGAAACAATTAATTATACTATATTTTTGAACCCTTATGTATCTCCTTAAATACATATTCAGTTTCTCTGTCCTTTGTAATGTTAAATTATTTCTCATTGAAACCAAACTCTTATTTTTTTTTCTCGTATTCGCTGTTTAAGAAAGTAGTGTATTACTTAACTACATCATCGTTGATGGAATCCATTAATTGAAGTGGGTTTAGTTGTTTTTAATTTAATTTTTTATCCTCAATAACAATATTTTAAAAGCTGACATTCTATGAGTCCACAAAGTAATAATGCCTTAATTTCTCTATGCTCCATTTGAAGATTCCATGTGTTATTTTAATATTCCTTACTTTTTCAAGAAAGTGTATTATTTTGTAAGTGTAATATTGACACAATGACTCTTAAGTTAGGCTTCTTTCATACTGATCTTCCTCCTCATCTGTGATAAATTGAGATGAAGCAATTACAATGTCCTTTGTCAAGATGCCTACTTCAATGTATGCTCGTTTGTATAAAGTTGTGGAATCATCTTATTCTGCCACATATAGAACTCTTTGATCCACCAAATATTATGACTGTAAATAGAATATTTCCTTCCAAATTGTTTCATTTCTTCTCTTGTTGAGTAGAATGGTGAATTCAATATCCGTCATCATTTAAAGATTCTAATCGACATATTTACAAATGCAGCCATTTTTAGGCATCAATGCTTTCAGTCTATAGTGTGGCAGATTCCTGAGTTATTTATATTGACCATTAAGATTTGTTCTTCTTTAGGAGATGAATAATTCTACTTCACCTTAATTAAAAATAGAGATCTCAGGAATATTGAATCTGAATGTCTTAAGACTCTGAGGCTAAAGGGCTTTTAGAATTTATGTATAGGTAAGTTGCTATGATTAATTTTAAACAATGAGTGTTTCTCGTGCAAGTTCATCATTCATTTAATTAATAATGTAATTACAGATAAAACTGTTAATATTAAAGATCGTTCAAAAGAATCTAATTTATGAAGAATTTAGTAAAACAATCGATATCGAATGGATCCACATATATCCATTCATTATTATAACTTAATAAATAGTTAACTCAATATCTAATAATATCATTTTAGATTATAATTACTGGTTTAAAATTGCAATCAATTATATTTTGGTAAAATAAATTCTCATTAAAAATTAGTTAGATTATATTATATTTAAATTAATTGTCACTACTTTGGTAGATATTAGGACTCAGAGGCTTAATGGATAAGTTAATAGTAAGAATTTTAAAATAATTTGTGAAGAAATTATTATATCAAAAACTAAAGTTTCCAACCATTCTTATTTAAAAAAAGTAAATTAATTTAATATTTAGATAGAATTGTATCAACCATTTCTTTAGAATAACTTAGATATTAATCTGGAAGTAAGTTTAAAATGTATTATATTCTCAATTTCAGTTTAAGATCCTAGAATAATTTATAATTAATTCGTCATCTAAAATAATAAGCTCTTGCTTGTAATTATCATAGTTAGGACCAAATAAATTATGCTTAATAAAATTTTAGAGTTCTATCTTTGAAGTATTTATTGGTATATATTCTTCAAAATAATACCAAATTTAATCTATAATGCTCCTAATTTTATATTTCTTCTAAAAATCTCCAAAAAAATAGTATTTTTATTCCTAAGATTCATCTAACTATAAGACTTCAAGCTTGAAATCATTTATAGCATGAATATTTTCGAGTTCAAATAATATTACATCATTTATAAAATATATTTGTCTAAAATATTAGGTTTATTTAATTGTAACATGTTTTTGAATTAATTCAACTAGTGGAAGGTCATTATAGTCATACACTTCCATATCGTCATTCAATTATATTTTTATCTGTTTTTTCGAAAATCGTTGAATCTTCTTACTTTTATATAAAGCAAATTGGAATTTTTCAATAGAACTTTTATTGGGTTTTTAATTTGGATCGATTGATTTTATTGTGATTGTGATACCTTTGCCGGTTTAAAAATCTATTATTTATCGAAGATCATATGGTTGAATTTCTGTTCCATTTATAAAAATAGCCAATGGACGAGCAATTTTGAGTTGATGATTTTAAAATAATTCGACTAAAATATCATGAAAAACACAGGATATTGGAGTAGTTATAATTTATTCTATAAATAGTTCTATTTTCTTAACTTTCAACTCTACTTATACTTTATATATTCTTTTATTAATAGTGTTTTGTATAAATGTTAGAAAGAGTGTGCAATAATTTGTAAAACCCAAAGTTTTAAGAGTCCTTGAGTCATTCTGTGATATATATACATCATTAAGCAGTAAACCTTTTAATTTAAACTAGGTTAGATCTACTTGGCAGTTTATACATTCTTTTATTCCATTTATGAATACATTAAATAACCATTCAGGATCAACACACGTTTAAAGATTAAACTTTTTGTCACCGTGACTTACAGCAATATTTACTGTAATATTTGATTCATTGACTTTGCTGCGTCGTTAATTTTAACCCATTAGTTGATTCATTTTAATTTTTCTTAATTTTTATACAAATAATATACTTTTGTTTAAATAAATTTTAGTTTGAGGAAGAGTATAAAATAAATATATAAAATACAATTAATAAAATAATGTTTGATGAAGATTATTATCGAAGATTAATAGTTTAATCATCAAATTAATCAATGAGAACAATAAATACTGATAGGCCATGGTATCCTAAGATGAAATAAAAACCTGCAGTGAGACCTTTGTTTAGTGAAGATTTTAAATTCTTTGTATTACCTCCTAATAAGATGATTTCATTATTAAAAAGACATAAAATAACAATTCCAACAGATGAATAGATTAGAGAATTTCTTAGGAATCATTCTTTGAAGAATATCGTAAATTATGGAGTCAAATTGTAGAGTAGTACAGAAATAAAAGTGCATCCTCCTTCAGTGATCATTCAAAATCCAAGAAAGAGGGCAAATACTAAATAATAAATCAACATTAATAAAAAGACAATGAATATCTTACCTATTCGTAATGTAACAGAACCCAGTAAACATTCTACTTCTCAATACAAACCTTCATGTCATAAAACTTTCAGAATGTATAGGAGTGACTATTGCGATAAAGATGTTTATGGCATGTTAAAGAAATTAAATTTTTCACCTATGCAAATGGATGAATCACCAAGACAAACCAAAGAAAACACTAACTTTAACACTTTGCCATCCTAAACATATGTAAAACCAATTGTGCCAAAAAGTGTATTGCCTTATCCTCCTCGTTCAAAAAAACAGCTTCGATAATTACTGTTGAGAGCCATTAACAAGATCAAGAAATTGGGTCTGACTATTAAGTATGTGATGCAAAATAAGATATTTTCAAAGAAGCCATATGAGAAACCACTTTCAAAACAATTTATTCATGCAGCCAAAAAGAATGAAATAGATGAAGTCTCAAACTTTCTATCAATCAATCCTTATCTTGTTTTTGATTTTGATTTTTATAATATGACTGCTCTTCACTGGGCCTGTAAAAAGGGTTATGTTCAACTAGTAGAATTGCTGTTGCAATACCATTCTGATGTTGATGGAGTTGATATCCTATACAGAACACCATTAATATTATCTATTGAGGAAAATCATTTGGAAATCACTCATATTCTATTGGCTCACGGCGCATATCCTTGGAGTACTGCTATTACTGATTTGAAAACTGTCTTAGAATCTAATGAAAAGGCTAAAAATCTCTTGACTAAAGTTAGAAGGGTAATATCTATTCTCATTATCTATTTTAGTTGCAAATTATGGCCAAATGGACTTAATAAAAAGATTACCTCAGTTTAATATGATCTTAATTACTTATATTTATAAAAAAAAATATCTAATAAATAGTCACAACTTCCTTCTGCGATATGGAACTGGAGAATAACTTCTAGATATAGCAAACCATTTTTTTCGATTCTCAACTATTTCGATATGTTTGCGAAATTCCTTCATTTAATCTTTGAAGTTATAGAAAGGTCTTCTGTCTATTTACGCTAATCTTTTTAGTATCAAATGATTGGCTTCAGAAATCTCAACCGAATTAGGGTATTTCCAAGGTTTTAAGGCTTTCATAATAATTATTTTTATATATAATTTTAGTTGTGCACTTAAATAAATATGTAATACGGAAAAATCTAATTAAATGGAATATATCTAAGATATTATAATTAATCATCTTCACTTAAAGTATAACCTAAATCTAAGTAATAGCAAATTAAGAATTGCAAGAGTTACGAAATATAAAAATGATGTTCTGGAGACCAATCTGTTTGTATTAGATATTAACAACCATAAGAATGTATGGTTAAATGGGTATGGACTTGGAAAAGGTGATTATAAAACTGTTAATAATTAACAATCTAGAAATTCATTTGTTGTATTATATTGATAAATAAAATAAAAAAGATAAATATCCCCCAAAAGAAGAATGTTCTATTTATTTGTATTAAATGGTGTTTATTTGAGATTAGAGATGCAATAGATTTCTAATAACATAAGAAACTCAAACCCTTGGAATTCATAAAGGTTCACTGAAAGCAATAAAATATTAATCTAAAAATAAAATATATTACACTTAAAATAAAATAAAATTATACATTTTAGTAAATAATTTTATACAATTTTGAAGAACTTTTGTATATGTCCTAAAATGAGGAAATCAGATGATAATTTATGTGGAAAATTATCAATATTTAATTGATTTCTTTTTAAACCTTTTTTGAAATATGAGAGACTAAAATCCATAATTTATTCAAAACATTTGATGTTTCTCATTAACTACATATGATATTTTTTGTGTAATACATTTAGTCTTATAAATAAATATAAATATTTATATTAATAATGTTTTATGAACACTTAAAATAAGTATTTTGTTAGAGATAGAAAAAAAAGGAAAGTGTTGACTAAATTAGTAAAATAGTGGCAGATCTTAAGTTTTTTAAAGAGAAAAGAGAAATATTTGACAGCATTTTGTATTATCAAATGTTGAAAAAGTTAAATTTAATAGAAACAAAATAAGAAGATGTTTTATTTCATTATGGTATAGACATGATAATAACTAATTAGGATCTAATAACGTTGAGTTGTTTTATATTATAATGTAGGGAAAAGTTGCGATCTTATGCCCGAAAAATAGAATGATAAGTCATAAATAGATTTTGGATGAGTATCATTAAAGTGATGTTTAAGGGAGTCCAAAATCTTCAAATGACTCGTTGAAAGATATTATCATATAATAGGCATATTCAAACTTTTTGGGAATGAAGAACTTAAAACAGTTTGATTAAGATGCAATTATAGATGAATATAATCATAATCCAAACAACTTTTAAGTTGATAAAGCATTGGATCAATTAATTAAAAAGAGATTTCCCAGTTTGAAGATTGTAAATATGTGTCAATAAGGTGATCAATTTGGAGAAATAGCATTAATAGGGCATGTAAGAAGAACAGCAACAGTTCTATGTGTGACTGATTGTTTACTCTTAACACTAACAAATAATGACTTTTAAAATATTCTATAACAATATCATTAATAAGTAAGAAATGAAAAGATTTAATTGTTGAGAAATTATTCACTGTTTAGATAATTATCTGATGGTAAATTAAAAGGAATGATCGAACACATTATAGTATAAAAGTTTTCTATTTTTTCAGTGATATATTATGAAAACTCAATACCAGAATATATTTACTTCATAAAGTCAGGAGAAGTTGAATTGCTAAAGGTAGTCAATAAGAATAAGCAAATATCAATTTCTCTTTTGCAAGTGGGTTGTGTATTTGGACATTAAGATATTGGACACTAATAATTTCGATAGTACAGAGCCATTTCAAAGTCATGCTAATGTGAATTATACATGATTCCTGTCAATATAGTCTTATAATTTGATTAATAAAACGAGAATAATCAAGCAGAGAAAGAGTTTCATTAATCTAGATTAAAGAGATTGTTGAGTGATCGTATGTCTCTTCATGATAGGAAAAAACAAAATGTGTCTCCGTAATCAATTGAGGAAAGATACAAGGGAGACAAAGATTATGAATCTTTTCTAAGCTATGCATTTGCTACAAAGAGGTATAATAAATTTAATATAGAGTTCTTTCGCCAAAGCATAAAAAACTCATTTCTGAGCCATTTATTCCATTTTTTGAATTAAATCATTCTAAACAAAAGAAATTCAGACAACACACTTCACTCTCGAAAAACTAAAGTGTTGAAAAATAAACCCTTCATAACTTAGATCATTTCAATAATTCTAAGAATTAATTAATAACAACTCAAGTTAATTATCATAGACATCTCTTCAGTCCAAGAACAACTAAAAGACATTTGGATACATTTATGCCATTTAAAAGATTATGATCTATTCAATATTATTGAAATACATTCATATTCAAACCAACTATAGAATTCTAATTATAAATGAGGAAACGGTTTACAAAAATAACAAAATTAATACATTCTACTAAATTTATATTAACAATTTCTAAATAACAATAAATCATTCATTTTTTTAACAATTTATGTCTTTTATAAATCTTTCTCATAATCATTGGAATTTATTTTGGTTAATTTTCATTTTAGGTTTCATCTTCATTTAAATCTAATTCATCATCATCATCTTCATCCATACTCAAATCTATTTCATCCTCATCTGAAAAGTTTCCTTTTTGTAATTCTTTCTCGAACAATTCATCTGCAAATGCATCCTCACTTGTTATACTACTTTTTCTTTAAGGTTTGCTTTATTATTTAAGTTTATTGTCCTATTATCTTTATTTTTCATATTTTAGTTTAAACTATTCTTCATTAATAACAGATCCTGATAAATTAGATATTCTATTTGTAACTCTATTTTTTGCTTCTACAAATTTTGCCAAAAATGCACTTTATGAATATTCCAAAAGAGGATTAACCTTCTATGAAATATTTTGATCTTTATCCAAAATCTACTTGGCAATCTATTGTGCTTTATTATGATAATGTGAAGTAAATGCTTTGATTTCATTCAAAAATGATGAAGCTCCTGAAAATAAAGGATCTCTTTTGTAATATTGATACTCCTAATCTTCATTGGTCTCTTCCAACAATTATGGTATTTCTATGCAAAGCTTTTGAACACAAATCAATGCGGTAATTGTGAATGATAGATTAGAATGCATTGATACTTGTAGTAATCTCTTAATGATTGCTTTTTATCTAACAATTTCATTATCTTGTTTTATAGATAAAAATAACAAATCAAAGAATAACTCGCCTAAGCTTGTGCTTTGAATTTCCTAGGATAACAACTAAAAATATATTATAATAAAGATACAATTTCATAAAGACTTCTATAAAAGTGAGCATTGAGATCTGAAATTTAATACACAAAATAGAGAGTCTAGATCTTTATTTTAAAGTTGTCTGATGTTGCAATTAATTTATATATGAGTTTTTCATTTTCCTTATATAATTCTTTTAATTAATCTAAAAATGATTGTCCATATGGAAGTGTCTTATTAATTCCCTTTAAAATCTGACTAAATAATTTTGAGCATTTTTAATCAGCTTATGGAATCTTCATGATCTTTTTGAAAAAGATGAAGAAAATTTTAAGCATATATGCTACACTGCTGGTTTCTTGAGTTTATAAATTGATGGTGTTAATAAAATTAAGGCAATAGTACTAAGCATCTTGGGATAAATTGGGTCTATACATGAATCCATAAGCCTCTTTTAAGAATGGATAAGTTAATGCAGGTTTTTTCTAGTATTAATAAGAAATATTACTGATAATTCTCCCGAAAGTTTCTTTGTTAGTAAAGTGACTAAAGTTTTCTCTTTGTCTCCGAATTTGTTGACAAGTTCCTTAACTAATTCCTTTGTATAGATTGGATGAGCACAATGCAATTCAAGCATCATTAAAATAATTTGTCTTCGCACATATGGTAAAACATCTTCGGAAGCCTTGATGAGAATTTCACAGGTCTTTATTAACACTTAGTTAATTCCATGCCAATAATATTTCTATAATTCATCTGTTAAGTTGGATTCTTCAAAATTGCATGGAACACCTCTCTTTAAAATTAAATGAACAAATAAATCCTTTAGTTAAAATAAGGCTTTTAAGCTTTTCTCCCTTGAAGGTAATGCAGCCTAAACATATTAAAAATGGGTATACAATTTCTAGTAGTTTATTTAATGAGCCTAATGCATGATCTGGGTGTTCTTTAATTGATATTGACAAGGCTGATATTTTATCTGCAATGGTTCCTGAATGAAGTAACTTCTGCATCAATTATGTATCAGAGGCTGGCTTGTCCCTCCTTATTTTCTTCTCCTAATACTCATATAGTTTTTAGGCATGATTAAAAGAATCCTCAATTTTTTTTACCATAATTTATATTAATTATGGAATCGGATCGATTGAGTTAATCTATCAAATTTGAAATAGAACAAAAATAAATCAAATAAAAGGCTCAACTCCTGTCTATCATAGACAAAGAGTTGTTATCGATCAAAGAAAAGTTAGCCAATCAAGTCTTCGAAGATAATAACAATATACTGAAATACAATCTTAAATTGCTCCAATTGGAAAAAAAAAATGCTGAAAAACACGATATTATGGTTGAATAAGAAATGATTCTCAGAAAATAAGCTACAATAGTGGAGAAATAATAAAAGGCTTAAGTCTAAAATGAGTAAAAGGAAATTCAACAAATTAATAAGGATGATAAAGAAGAGATAAGCATTACTTAAGATTTAACTGTTGAAATAGAAGGGTTAAGAACAAGAAATTTATATTTATCTCATAAATTATCTTAATTGTTATTCTACTTTGTAGATTTGCAATTATATGATAAAGAATTTGCAAAATAAGTTGCGCTTGATGATTTCCCAATTGATTAGCTTTACAAACCGAGTCTGTCACAACCAATGAACTTGTTTTTAAATATAGAAGACAATGAGAAAAAAAAATTAGAAGCAATTATTAAATCAAAAGTATCTTTATTAAATATCATTTGGAAGTCTTGTTAAAATAATAAAAAATAGAAATTGAACAGTTATAATAAAAAAATAAGAAATTAGAGAAACAGTTATTTTTTTAAGACCAAAGCACAGAGATAAAACCTGATTAATAAAAAAGGACTGTATTTACATACGAAGACGAACACTTTGAAGATTAGTAGTACTTAGAACAATTATCACAACTAAAAAGAGTAAGTATTTACATTTGAAATAGGATAATCAACCGAAATGCAAAACATTGAATGATATCATATTGAAAAAGAGAAAATATAGTTTTGATACTGCATAGCCAGCATTAGATTTTTATAAATTGAACAGAAGATTAATAGCAGAGAGATTCCAATAGCCATCACTATAATTTGTAAATTACTAAAAATTTAGAATTCACTCCTAGTCAATTAAAAATTAATGAAGTAGTATTATTATTATTAATTAAATTAATAATAATGATGCTTTTATAATCTTATACTATTCTTTTAGATATTAGTTCTTATCATATATTATATTGTTTATCATAGACAAATAGAACTTGAATGCTTTCGAGGTTTTTTTAATTGGTTATTAAAATTATTTCTTGATTAATAATGGGAGGAGCTTTTGGAAAAAGGAAAGTATAAGTATTGGTAGTCGGTTTGGATAATTCAGGGAAAACAAGTATCATAAATGCACTGAAAAATGAGAAAAATGCAACAGTGGCCCCCACAGTTGGTTTTAATAAGGATTCTGTAGAGAAATTTAACTTGAACTTTTAATTCTCTGATATGAGTGGACAGAATTAATATAGAGGAATGTGGGAATAGTACGCAACAAAAGTATTAGAAGATTGATATAGATAGATTGATGGTCTTATTTTTGTCATAGATTCATCTGATAAAATCCGATTTGGCATAGCTCTTGATGAATTCAAATTGCTATTGGAGACTCCAGGATTCAGTAAAGACCTACCGATTCTTGTTTATGCTAATAAATAGGATTCTCCAGATGCACAAAATCCATAATTTTTTATTGATTATCTGGAATTGAAGTAGTACAAGAATCCTTCTTAATGTTTTGCAGGAAGTGCTAAGACTGGAGTTGGTTTGGATCAAGGACTCGAGTGGTTAAGTGCCAAGATTTAGCAGGTCAAACCAAAATGAGATGCTTTTTATTCAAATTTTGGATTAATATTTTACATTACTAATCATCTTGTATAAGTGTTTGAGTGTAAAACTAATTTCTTGATTGCTCATTATTCTAAAATGAGAAAGCATAAAATTAAAAGTTGTCGTTATAAATTTAAATATAAATGATAGACAGTGAAACATTTTTTGCAAAATACTTGTTGTCGCCAAGACTCTAACATACTGAATCTGACTAAAGACTTATATCCCTTAATGCTGCCCAAATTAGATTATCTCCAGATAGAAAGATAAAATCCTCTTTTCTTTAGGATGAAATGTCATTCACTTCTAAGAATTCTTAATTGCTCAGTCAAACCATCAGATCACTACTCAAAAACAGTTGGGACTTTGTTGAAACTGTTCGAGAAAAGAACTTAATTGATCCTCATTTACAATATCATTTAAGGAAATTCAAAAATGATCATGAAAGTGTCAGCGACCTTGTAAACAGAAAGGTTTTCGACAATATCGAGCATCTAAATTAATACAAGGATTAGATTAATTCTTTGTAATAGGAAATAGTGAACTTGAATGAAAAATGCAAACACAGAAAAGTATGTTTAAAAAAATTGAATGATATTTTAAATAGGAAAGATGATGAACTATTGCAATTGAATCAATAATTATAAACATTTTAGACAGAAAATTAAGCATTAAAAAACCAACAGGAAGAACTAAATTGTTAAAATATCCAATTAATTGAAGAACTATAAAATGTAATAAGTTCCTCGTAATAAACAATCAATTAACTCAATTTGAAAATCAGAGAAGGAGAAACTCATTATGAGTAGTTAAAATCAGATAAAGATTATGAAATTTAAATTCAATTAAGTCAAACTGATAAATTAGAAGAAGAATACGATTCCCTCAAATTGAAACTCAAGAAATAAGAATCTTAAATAGGCCTATTGATTGAAAAAAACCAAGAACAAAAATTTGAAATTGAATCACTCAACGCCTCATAAGTTTAGAATAAAGATTAAATCAAATTAAATGAAGCTGAAATTAAGAGATTAAAAGATTTATGTGCATTTTAAGAAGAATAACTGAATTAATATTGTAATCAATAAACATAGACTCTCTTACAATTTACATAAAGATAGAATGAATTGACACAATAATTTAATCAGAAGTAAAATGACCTACTATCATAAATTGCATAGTAAGAAAATGAAAAAGCAGAATTATAAGGAAAACTTACTTCATTCATTTAAAAGGAAGCTTAATTGCATAAAAAAATCTAGCAGTTCGAGGATAGTTAAACTGAGCTTGAATAAACCAAAAACTCATACTATGAAACAATCCAATAATAAAAGAAGTAAATCACTCTATTGACATCACAATGTTAATAATATCTTTCAGAATTGGAAAATAATCAAAATGAATAAACTATCTAACAACTACAAAATCAGTTATCATAATCTAAAGTTACGATTAATGATTTAAACAATAAAATTAAGGAAGAAGAATAAAAGTTAGAAAAATTGAAATAATAAAAGGATGATGACATATTTGCACAATTAAATTAAATCTACAAATTAGAAGAAGAATTGGAAACTCTAAAATAAAAATTAAAGAAATCAGACTCCTAATTAGTCATTACATCTGAAAAGAATCATGAACTTAAAGAGGAAGTTGAGTCATTAAATGCTGAATCACTAACTTTGAAAGATTAGATAAAGCTTAATGATTTAGAACTTAAAAGACTAAAAGACTTAACTTTAGTTTAAGAGGAATAATTAAACGTTTATTGCAACTAATAAGCATAAACTTATTAATAATTTAGTGCTAGATAAAATGAATAAGTTCAATAATTTAATACAAAGTAAAATGAATTGTTAGAGTAGATTGCTACTTAATAAAAAGATTATGCTGATTTATAAGGAAAACTATCTTAGATTATGTAAAAAGAGATTCTATCACATTAAAAAATTAAAATTCTAGAAGATTAAGTAAATGAACTTGAAGAATTAAATAAGAATTTACTTGAAACCAATACAAAATAGAAAAAACAATTAAGTAATCTTAATTAAGTGTGCTAATAAAATGACGTTTAATTGGAACAATAATAATTGGAAAGGTAAAATTTAGAAGAAGCTATTCAATAAAATAAATAAAAACTAAAATAACTTGAAGATAAACTAAATTAATCTAATTTAATTATTACGTAATATGAATAATAACTGAATGATTAGCAACTGTAACTATCTATCCTTAATCAAACTCAACAAGAATTGTAATAATATTAATAAAAAGTCTAAATTTTAAACAATAATTTGGATGAATCAAGAGTTTAAGCAGAGTCTATATCAAAATAGAAGGAGGATCTAGTAGTATAACTTTAGAATACAATACATACAAATAGTTAATTATAATAATTCAATAAAACACTTGAAAATCAATAAAAATTGATTGAAAATAATTATTCAAGTTTGACTTAAGAAAATAGAAGACTTTAAAATTAATTAAGTGAATCTATTTGTGTAAGTAAATAAAAAGAACTTGAAAATTAAGAATTACAGAAATTAAATGAAACTTTTAATTAATAAATATCCTAATTATAACATCAATTTACTCAATTAGAATAATCATATCATCAAATAGAGTCAGATAAAAATGTTATGAATTAATAATTGAGTGATAATTCCCACTTCTTGGAGTAATCTATGGTAGAAAATGAAAGTAAATTAACAAAATTATAGACATAAAATTAAAATCTGAAGGAGGAAATAAAATAGTTAAAAAAAAATTAGAATGAAAAAGAACATCAATTTGCATAGACAGTTAAACAGTATCATTAAAAACATTAAGGTATGATAACAATTTTAATTATTTTAGAACATAATACAAAAATGAGCGAGATCAATAAATTATTAAAGGAAAGAAACGAGGAAATATAAAAAATGAAGTTGTAAATGGATGATGCTTAAATAAAATCGTAGTTACTTAAGATGAAAGGTAATTTATTAATCTATTTTAGATGAAACATATAGAAGATTATTAAATAGAATAATAAAATCAATTGATCCATTTTGTGATACAAAAAAGATTAATGATGTAGATACTCTACTTGAAACTGCAGTTGAAAAGGTTCAAACCCTTGTTAAACTCAAAAGAAGAAATAAAGAGAATGATGAATTTTCTTTAAATAGTTAAAAAGAACCATTTAATTTGGAATTGTCTCAAATAGTATAAAATTGATTAAATTATCAAATAAAATTCATTTCAATTAAGAATTAATTTATATTCTTCAATAAATGTAATTACATTCTTTTGTAAAATTATTTGCTATCCTATATCACTAATCGAAAATGCTAATATCTTTTTTATAATTTAAATAAAAATTATAAATTGCAGTTTGATCCTTAACAATAAAGTATTTAGAATAAAAATTGTATTAATTGTTCATTAAAAAGATAACTTAAGATATAAATTTGAATTTATTAACTTATCCGAGCTTAGTATTAAGAAGATTTTTAAAGAAATCTCGAATCTGACCTTTAAATCAATTAGGATTGACAAAGAGCTGTAAATTTAATGCTTGACTCAAATAGAAATGAGAAAATATTTGTATGTATCAAATAATTATTCTATGTGTATATATATAACAGTGAATATCCTATTTTATTGCTCTGACTGTTGAATTTCAAATCTTTTGTGCTAATACATAGTTTATAAATTATTCTGTAGTTTTTAAATATTGAAAATTAAATAAGAAAGTAAATTATAATGAATGTGAGGCCAAAATTTGGAAGGTCAACTCCACCTAGTCATACTTCATCAAATCCACATTCTTAAATTACTTAGGTAAGTGAAGAAAATGATAATTTAGCCAGTTAATTAAGACATGTAACAAAATCAAATGCAAATACCTCAGAACTGTGGATCCTATCCAAGTATTCCAATGCCTCCACCTGCCAATCCTCATTTAATTAGTCCATAGTATTAAGTTTAAAATTCCTAACATTAACCATATATTCCAGAATAAAATTATACTTATCAATAGAATCCATACAATCATTATTAGCAACCTATCTCTAGAGAAACTGCAGTGTTTGGATAAGTTCAGAATTAATAGGGGTACAATAATGGCCCAGATATCTACAAATCCGCAGATATATATCATTAGAGCCATAAACATTATCATTATAAAGAACCTTTATAAGTGGAAAGCGTAATCCTTCCTACTAGTGATGTTATTTAATAATCAAAGGAGTACTAATACTCTTCAGTCATTTTGAAAACATGTGAACTTTCAAATACATAGAATTCATAAATATTAGAGAACTTTAAAATAATTTCTAATTCTTAGATCAAAGATATGGATATAAGCTCAAAAACTCACAATATGATTACAATATAAGATAAGTCTAATGAGTTTCAAATTTAACCTTTTGATGAAAATTTGAAAAAGGAGAAATAGAAAAATAAATAATTGGTAATTATTGTTGTTTACCTTAGATTAACTCGAATCTCCTTATAATTTAAAACAAAAATACAAATATACCTAATTTTGAGTGTCTAGAAAGGCTATGTTAAATGCATCAAAAGCCAATAGAAAAGATCTGTGCTGAAAAGGAGTGCAAAGAATTAAATGAATTATTGTTGTGTTAAGAATGTGCTAGAGAACACAAAGGCCACAATCTATTCGACATTCCAGAGGCATTATTTTTAATACTAAAAAGTTAATAAAACCTAGAAAAGGATGATTAATTGATATAAGTTATTTAACAAAAAGCTTAGGAATAATTTAAACATCTAAAATCAAACATAACTTGGTAATTAAGTCAAATTGAAGAACAATTACATGATGGATTTAATAATTTTAAGAATTACCTTTTGGAGAAAAAGAACTCCTATCAAAAAGCCTTTGAGGATCTTCAACTAGGAGGTTTAAGCAAGATGGTTGAATAAGCAAATTTGCTTTTTGATTAAGGCTTATTCTAGGAAGTCAATTTAAATTAAAATGAATAGGAATACCTTAAATTATCAGATGAATTAAATAAGGTAAAATAATCAATGAAAAAGTTCTTATAATTTGTTGAAGATGATAATTAAGAGTATACATAAATCAAACTCAATAATGTAGATATATAGATTGAGAGTTAAAAAATAGACGATCTTAATTAGCTCTATTATTAAATCAAAATAGATTCTTTAAATTAGAAATTTACAAATATTCTAGATTAGGAACTGCTATTATTGTAAAATAATAAAGCAATAAGATTGAAAGAAAATTATTCGAAAATTAATCTGAAGTAATAATAGAACATTTAAATTGTTTCATATCAACAGATTTGATTATCAAATATATATCAAATTAAAAATCAAATTTACGACTTTAATATATAATATATCATTTTCTCAATAGAGGCGGAAACTGAATTCATTATTGTAATTTCTTAAAAATGGATTAAAATAAATTGAAGGAAATAAAGTCTAGATCAATTTTTGGTGGTGTTTTTAGAATAAATTTAATCGGAGTATATGATTATATGCATCTAAGATATATTAATTATATTTTCATAATTCGAATATATGATAATTTCAATAGCATAATATGATAATATCCTCTTTTACATATATTTAACCCAGATTTTATCTATCTCACCCAATTTAAGACTTTATTTTATAAAATTTGCTTATCAATTAAAATTATTAGACAACATAGTTAGTTTTCAACCTTCATTCTTTCATTCCTTATGGAGAACCAAAGTTATAATATTTTCTTATTGATAATTAGCTGTTTTGTTATGAATAAGAATAATTATATAAAATTTTAGGAAAAATACTAGGTTCTTAATAAATTAAATAATGAAAGTTAATGCTATTGTTAACCAATTAAAAAATATAAAAACTAAAAATAAATCATTAAATGGAGTAAGTTATATAGAAAAACATTTAAGCTTATTCGCGAGATGATTGCAGATTTAGACAAACCAGAAGTGAGCAAGGAAATACTTGAAAATCACACTATAAAACTCATCAACAATACTAAGGAACAAGATTTGAAGGTCATTCTTTAATTGTTGATCTAAATACAGCATTTAAATAAGTTAAATAACTTAGATGAGCATATTATAATGTAAGAAAATTTATATAGATTGAAAATAGATTGATAGAAAGAAACTAAAAACAGCATAGCTATCATGCGTAAATCATTTAGTTATTGCATACACTTAAGGAAAACGTTTCTATATAAAATTTACCATACACATATAGGTTCCTAAGAATATGTTATAGAATAAAGTAATTATCAAATAATAAAATAATTATTGTGAACACATAAGTGTTGAATGATGAAGTGCTTACTCAGATTGGGTAATCATGCAAAGGTTATTTGATGAATAAGTAAGAGTCAGAAAAAAATATATTGGCCATATTAAATTTTTTTATGAGAATAGCAGATGGTTCTTTAGACACTGATTTCGATGATGCTTACGCTCTTAAGGCATTGAGTTTGATTTTAGAGGAGTTCTAAAAGCTGAAGATATTGTTGGACATCAAAATAGCAGAAGTAATTAATTCTAACTTAAGTGCTTTGCTAAAGAGTAATCTCAATAAAACAACATAATCAATACAGAAATGTAATCAATTTATACTAATATAGTGTAAAGTATTTTCAAGTTGATAGAGATCCTATTGTTGGGGAACAGCTGTTACTTTTTTGATTTTCTCGATACACTCAAGAAACACTTATTTAGCGAGTGTCATTCTATATAAAAATAGCTTTCTTACTAGACAATAGTGAATTGCACAGATGCTTTCATTGAATATCTGGGGAATGATAAGTATAAAAATGAGTTTGTAGCATTCTACACTGAAATAACAAAGCAGACATAGATAGAGAACATCAATATCCCCCACAAATTGAAGCAGATACATGAAGTGGTTGGACATTTCATTTAATTAGAGAATATTTATTAGGAATACTCTGATAATAAATAGATTCTGAAGTTTATTGCAGAATTCAATTTAAGATTATCATAATAGATGCAGAAACCTCAGTTGTTATTATAAAAATAAATTAAAAAGTGTATGAAGAATCTACTAAGTAAGATAGAGTTTGAATAAATTAACCAAACTTATTACAATTACATATAAGTTATGGATACTGATGTGAGGAACTCAATGATAATTCATTTGATTGAACAGAATCAGATTGCTTTTGTGACGTAGCTCTTATATCAAATGAATGATATATCCACGAGCACTTGGCAAAAGTATATTCAATACTATTTGAAGATAAAGGAGTCTAATGAATAAACAGAATAGCTTATGAAACAGTTGTTATTGAATGAGAAATTGTTGCAAATTGAGGTTCTTCTCTTTAGTCTGTTCTCCTGCAAATGCTATTAACTTATCATCTAATTATGTAATATTCATTATAATGCATTGTAATTTGATTTGGTATTGTAGTTCCTGTATCAAGAACTTATGAATGATATTGAGTAGCAACACACTGTTGAATTAATATGTTCGTTAATCATTTTGATATAGGAAAGATCAAATCACTTCTAATTCGATTATATGTTGAAGATGATACAACTGAAGAATCACAATGAATTGCTGCTGCATTATCTCTAAACAATATCAAACAAGGTGGGAATGGATCAATTGTTAAGTCTATTAACTTAATGTCTACCTTCTCAATTAATCTCAACAATCCTGTACGATTGTGTTTAGACAAAGGAGATTGATGAATCAGATTTGGACTTAATCCTATACATTCTATAGAAATAGGATGTTATTGATGATCACTTTATAGCTCATTTAATGGACATGATCGCAAACAAAGAGGAATATGCTGTTACTCTCTTCAATATCATATCATAAAAGAAGGTTCCAGTGAAATTAATATTTTATATTGGACAATAAATTTAGAATTAGAAGTATTACAATAAAGACACAAACCAACAATTGCTATTCAACCATTAGGTGGACATAAACTATTTGTATGAGTTATGCCAATTCACATACGGTGCTGGACAAATAGATGCCAATTTCATAGAGAGTTAATTGCCGTACTTTGAAAAGTTGATAGAAACTCAACAGAATGAATTACTGGAGGAGGTTACCAGGGTAATTAAGTTCTATCTCCAGAACTTCCCAACTTAATAATGCTTGATTAAGTTGATTTCAAAATACGAGTATCTATACAATCATGGGAATTCAAATCTCACCTAGACATTGATTCAAATAGTACCTGATTTGAAGATAATTTTGAGTCTTTTGGAGAAGGATGACTAATAATTTTAATAATTCGAAAACAAATTGGATAATCTACACGAGTATGCTGAATTTGCAGAATATATGGAGAAGCATTAAATAGCTTTGAATTCTAATACTGAAAGTATTGAACAAAGACCTAAGATTTAACTCTCTGAATTAGAGTAACAATGATATTTGAAAAAATATTTATTTATTAATGTCATATAAAATTTCATTAGTAGGTTTGGAGGGTAGTGGAAAGACCACATTAGCTAAGGTGTTGAATGATCAGCATCAAATAAACAATATACCTTTGGAAGTCAATGAAGATATGCCAAATTCAGATGTGATGATCTTCTGTTTGGATGGAAGCAACATGCAACAGTTGCATCATAGTAAAGCAGCATTAGAGTAAATAAATGGCAAGGAATAATTAATTATCTTGCAAACAAAAGCAGACATTCAGACTATTGAAGAGGGAGAATTGAGAAATTTCTTGGGTGTTGGGGAGGTGCCAATCCTACCAATTTCTGCCATAAATGGAGATGGATTACCTTAATTACTCACTTTGTTAAGTTAATAGGTATAACCAACACAATAGAACTTTTCAGCAGAACCAAGAGTAGTACCTAGTAGAGGAAAATATAGAATAAACGAATAAAATCAAATATCAAAGCCGATGCAGACTTTTCAAAATTTAATGAAGGATCACGTATGTATGTATAAAAATTGTAGAAAATCAAGTAACGTACTCCTATGGAATAAGAATAGGAATATATACGTTTGGAGAAAGAGCGTATTAAAGTAGAGAATATGTCAGCTTAATTGAATAATTTTAAAAGGAAACTAAAAAAAGAAGGTAATTTCTTATCTTATCCTAAGACACTTATGATATTAAAGCAACAGCCAATCCAAGAATACAAGTCAATTTGGAATTCTTTTTAACAGACACTCTAGCTCAATGTGAATAATAAAAAAATACTCTTTCCACTCAAACTGATAAATTGTAAAAGAAACCTGAGGATCCTCCTTTCATTCCCAAGAAAACAGGAATAGATGCTGCCACTTAAGTAGAGGATTATGAACTATTCGATTTTGATAGAGAAGTGACTCCAATTCTGAATGTTATTTGCACAAAGACTTTAGAATAAGCCTGTTTAGAAATAGAATAAGAAGAGGAATTCCTGGCTATGTATAGATTTAAGGAGGCATTCGAGAAGAGAAGAGTTAATGATAAAACTAAATAGCAAGTCACAGTGGAGAGAGAAAAACAATTGATTGATTAAAAGACTGAGGTGTTGAAAAAGTACTCCTAGAAATAGGAGAGAATGCAAAAGGTCATCTTCAAAGCCTAGGCTCATGCAATAGCCAAAGAATATTTGAAACCCTTGTAAGGATAGATAATGCAACAAGTAATCTCAAGTGGATTTTATCCCAATGAATTCATGAATCAATTATAAACAATGTTCATGGACTATTTAGTTGGGAAGACTCAAGAAGAAGTCATAAAACTGGTTGATCTTAATAATTCAATGAAAACAGCATTTAATGTTACTAATTTCGAAAAAATTCCAAAAGTCAGAAAGCCATACGATTAGTAAATACAAAAGAAAAAGGATAGGTAGGCATTGAGAATGATCAATTACTCAAACTAAAGAGCAATTCGTATCTTCTATTAGGACTTGGTTCCTCTTTAGAGTGTTGTTTCAATGACATTGCCTAAATTCTTGGATGGGTCTTTTGATGAGTGGAAGAGGACTTACGATCAGAGAGTGGCTGAATTGGAATAGAAGGCTGAGAATAATGAAATAAATGAGGAAGACTTTGCAAATCAAAAAAGAGCTGAATATCCTGATTTGTAGGAAGGATACTTTGGAGCATCAGTGAATAATTTTACTAGATTCGCATTTTCAATGGCCCATGATTAATATTACTTAACGAGTGATAAACGATTACAAATAGTTGCATATGTGTTAAGGAAAGATGGAACATATGAGATTGTAAATCAAGAATCCAAAAATTATGGAAAAGTATTTAAATGGAAAAAATTTAGATTACCAATTAAATAAACTGATGATGAGGCATTGTTATTAAGGTTGCAAGAATTGGATTCCGAAATCATCGCAATAGTTTTTGGATTGCTATTGCCAAATTTATAAAATAACATCAAGGCTTTGGAATGGGTGTAAAATGCTAGATTTGGTTTGTATGATGCATAATATTGTATTCCGTTTGCTCAAACCAATGTAAATAAGGCATTTAAATTAGAAGAACTTGTGAAATAAGTTGACGATCCAGAATTAGCTGAAGCACCTTAAACTGTGTTTATGAGTTGTTTCACATTGATGAAGCGATTCAAATAATTTGGCGGTTGGTACATAGAAAATACTCAAGCTGCCACTAAAGGCATGCTAGATTAAGAAATCGAACCCTTTTATGAGAAGCTTTCACAATTTCTGATTGAGATGAATGAGTTTACACTCGAGAGAGACAGAGATTTCATTTAAACTATTCAAGACAAAGAGAAAGAAAGAGACACCATCTTAACCAATCAAGAATTATAAATGAGTAAATTATTTCCTTTAATTTATAGTAATTACTAAATCAAAAATTCCCCAATAAAAAAAAATGCCCACAGAACCCAATGTTACTGATTCTGCTCTGCCCTCAGCGAGACCACTTGAAGAACCGTCCGATTACACTAAAACTTAATTCAATTCCATGATCATCGAACCAATAATACTGGATATGAGTGATTCCTTTGAAACTGTGGAATCCTAATTGATTAACCATCTTACTAATGTTGCTTAAAGGTTAGTGAACAGTTGTACATGGGGATTTGAGTTGAAGGCCAGAGGCAATTCATTCCTCAGAGTGAAATAATTAATTAGAGTAATTATAATAGCGATATAATTAGATAAGGAGTGTTGGTGAAATGACGATTGTAAGAAAGCCAGAACCTCCTAAGGAAGAAGTTCCAGTGCAACAGGAGGAGAACAAGGACAATGATGATAATGATAATGATTCCTGAAATGATTTAATATTAAATGAATTATTATGAATTATTAGGGGTGGATGACAAATGTTCTGCTGAAATTATTCGGAAAGCCTTTCTCAATAAGATTCGCTTTTGCCATCCCGATAAAAATGGGGATGCCAAAGAAGCTTAATCTCTAATTGAAGCCTACAAAGTACTCATGAATTGTAGGGAAGAATATGATTAATCATTGAGATCCCAATTCAAATACTGTTTTGACACTATGACGGTGAAATGCAATTATGTTGAGTATGAATGTGAGCAGTGTGGAGAAGAGAACCAGATTGAATTAAATAGTTAAACAAATGTGATTGTTGAATGTCGAAGTTGTAATTTGAAGTTACAAATATTCCAATAGTGAACCATATTAGAGGAATTTGTGAAATTTACAATCAGTGTTCCTATTTCATTTACTTTAACAAATAATTTATTTATTTTTATGGATAAATTCGAGAAGCGTCTAAATCAAGTTAATATGATCACGCCCAAAGGTACTCTAAACTAGCAATCCACGTTCAAACAAAATGATCATGCCAAGAGTTATGCCTCTCTCAATGAATTCAATAGAATTGGAGAGTAATTTGATAGTGAGGCTGTCAATTTGAGATCCTAAGTTCAAATCTTGGAAGGCAAGTTGTAATTTTACGAAAGGGAATTCTAAATCAAAGTAAATTTACTTGCAAAATACATTCTAGTAATCTTCCTTGGAAAAGCGAATTCAACAATTGATATCTACATCATCTTAGCTCACTCAATAAAATACCTAATTAAAATTGTAATACTAAGCTTTATTAAATGAATATCAAATTCAACAAGACAAGATGGCTCACTCAGACAAAGGCCAAAAGGAATATGAAGAGAAAGTGAGATCCCAATTAGATAATTATAATAAATATTAATCTGAAAAAGAACAATTAATACAATACGCAAACAAGTGCAGAGAGAGATCAAAACAAAGGAAACTCAAAATTAAAGAAATAACCACAACCAATTCTCAACTGATTGACTAAATCCAATAATTAGAATAAGAGTTAGAATAGGCAAATCATGAAAAACAATAGATATACGAATAGTGTTAACAATAAATCATGATTCTCACTGAATAAAATGAAGATTGGCAAATGAAATACGAGTCCATCGTTCAAAACTTTAAGAATCATCTTGCAGACTAGAATGATAGCCAACAAGAAGAGTAACTATTAGCCAGTCACACAATACTGGATCAAAGAGAAGCCTAGACAGTTTAATAGCAATTAGAAAACTTTAGCATCTTATAAAAAGATCTAAATACTCTCTTAAGCTAAATCAAAAATACTAGTGTGACCAATCCTTCATCCTTTGAAATGCAATAAGTGATAGAATTTGCGGAAATCTTCAATAGGATGGCTGAAAAAATCTATGAATTACAATAAAAGAAATCAATGCTTAAGGAGTAACTTAAAGTAAGAGTGTGATAGATTATTGTATTAGGATCTCCAATAAACGTAATTATAAACTCAAATGCTGTCAAATAAATCTATTTCCAATAATTAAAGTCCAAATATGATGGACGATAGAACCAAATTACTCTTTGAATAAAGAATATTAGAATTAGAAGAGTATATATGTTTTTTAATTAGGTATTATTAGAAAGAGAGATAACAAGAAAAAAATAAGCCTGCTTAAAGAGGAAGAAATTAGGATCGCAAACTCAAGTAGATAATTTCAATACTTACTTAATTCTTAGAAGAATTTTTGGAATAATAAAACCATCTAAAAACACTGAATTATTAGATTAATGATATGCAATTTGAGTATAATGATAAAAAATGCAATCGCTCCTTTAAGAAGGCTTCATGGGCAATAATTGCTATTTATAGAATTAAAACAATTCAGAATTAATAATATTATCAATAAGTAGTATAATTTAATCAACTAAGAATTGAAATGCCTATTGTTAATTCACTCAATTAATTGCTTGAACTAGTGTCGGGATAGTAATAATTAATTGATACATTGTAAAAATAAATGGATCGAAGGGGATCGGATGTATTTTAAGAATAAGACATTCAATCCATAGTTGATTAGGAATTAAAACAATAATTAAAGAGTGTATAGATAGAGTTGGATATGAATAACAAAAAGATGTTTGAGTATAAATTGTAATCGGAGAAATAAATTGAAGAGAGAGATCGTATAATTAATGAATTGGAATAATAATTAAGGGATTTTCCTAATGATTATAATTAACAGCTTCTGGAACATTTAGAAGAACAAACTAATCGTGTTAAAAGCATTGAAAATGAATTTAATGTGTTAAATGAACTTGTTAATTCATTAATCTGATATTGATATATATTAACTATTATCATCTCTTGTCTAAAGAACTGATCTTCTAAAATATGCACTCTATATTTTGATGGACTCTGGTAACAATCTTACTCATTCTCTAGGTTAAAATGTGGATTTATTATGAATAATTGAAGTATTTCTGATTCTATTCTATAATTTCATTGATCACTTGAAATTTATGTTCAATTTTCTTAATTTCAAATAAATATTTTCTCTTTGAAGCAGCCAATTAATATTTTAAAGAGATTAATTTTTCTTCTAGATATAAGCTTTCCCTTTGAGTTTGCTGTGGGTCTAATGTTGAGATTGATTCCCTTTATTACTCGAAATAATCCAATTCATATAACAATCTAAAAGTATTTTCATTCTCGTAATGATCTAATTCTTCAATGATGGTCTCCTATTCCAAAAGATTAATGACGAAGAGTTTATCGTCCGGACTGACATTCATAGCCTGGATCTTTTAGGTGACTTTATTCTTCTTAGTGTTGTTCATAATATATTCAAGGTCGCATCTTAATCCATTGAGTTCCTGGAATATGTTTATAAGTAATTACTTTGTAAATATTTTTGTATTCTAATTACACTTCGCTTCTAAAATTATTCAATTCTTCAGTAACAAATTATTCTAATCTCTAGATATCTTGGGTATCTGAAAACATTCTGAATTGCTATTCGACTCTTCCTTGACTCTTCTTCTACAATTCCTGTAATTGACTATCCAAGTAGTTCATCTTCAATGTCAAATCATTCAACTGTTTTTCGTATGGCTTGTTTTGGCTATTGCTTTTGAAATCACTGAAACTTGTGTTGGTTGATGTTTCTCTTGATTTGTCTCTGATCTTTTCTAGTTCCTCTTGTTTTTTTAGTAGTATTTTTAATTGTTATTCAAGTTTTTAGACATGAGGGATTTCATTGACAATGGGCATCAAGGCATCATGTTACATGCAAACTCTATTCAAATTAGCTTAAATTAATCGACGAAATTACTTTCCAAAAGGTTCAATCGGCTGTCAACAGATATATTTTCTTTTTGTTTAATGCTCTTTTTGTTCGACATAAAGTGTTGATCTTTTTATTTTAAATATTTATATTCGTTAAAAACAATAAAACTTTATTTCTCATTTAATTAAATAATTTATGAAGACAATCAAACTAAAATTTAATGACTCTCAAAGTGTAATTATTGAATTAATAAAAATATAACAATAACGTATTGTAAGGAGTGGGAAATATCTTTGGCTCATATGATTAATTTAAGAATCAACTCCTATAAATGAAAAGAGATTTTAGGAATAGTTTTGTTTCTAAAAATGGGTGTAAAATAAACATTTAAATAATAATAAAATAAGTAGGGTTTAGAATTAAATATAGATAAAAGGGCATAATAATAATATTCTTTAATTAATATTATTATGAATAAGAATATTATTTATTGATTAAATACAAGGGAATGAATTGAAAAGATATGAAAAAATTACAAATTAGATAAAAATAAAGAATCAATTGTCTGGTTTTGGTATGCTGGAGTGGTTATTGAGTTCTGATTCTTGTTGATCTTGATTTTCGACTCTTCGTTTTTTATTATATTGATTGATATAGCAATTCTAACAGAGTCCACCTTGAAGATTGAGATGATAATTACATGCATATAATTTTTTGTGTGAACATAGCCAAGGCTGTTTGTTTCTGCCTAAACGATGATAACAATTGTTGCACATTCCCTTGGCATAATGTTCTTTGTCTGGATGGCCACAAGTGTTGGTTTTTTTGCTTCTAGGAGATATTTAAACAACATACATTTTCTTGTTAATAGCTTTAGGTTGCTCTTGCTATTGGGGAAGAGTCTACATTTACATTCCGAGAGGTTTGGAATCGGCCATGTGTCTTTGTAGTAGTTCCTATTACGTCATTTAATAGATGGGAGGAAGGAGTGGGTCATTCTCTTCAAGTTTGATCTGTGGGTTGAGGAGATTAAGAGTAGTTTGTTATCGATCAGCACTAAGATTGAAACGCATGACTAAAATTAAAAATGCAGATCCTTACATTGCAAAGTTTGTAGAAGTGGATGAAAGAAATTCATTTTTGTGTATAATTATTAATTAATATATTTTAAATTTTAACGATCATGAATACCTCTTTTCCAAAGATGTCCACCTCATCATTAAGTTAAACGACATCTCAAACCAACTTTTACGATTCAAGTCCAATGTCATCATATTCAGCTAAGCAATTAACCTCAAATGACAATTTTAAAGTTGTGGTTCGTGTAAGACCTCCCCTATAGAGAGAAGTGATAGATGGACGTTTCATTTCCACCATTCAAGTGTCTCCTGATCATAAAAAAATCTGCCTCTACGAATATTACAACATCGACTTAGTGGATCCAGAACATCTTGAAGAGTACCTCAACAATCCCAATAGTTATACAATGCACACCTTCTCATTTGATTACGTGTACGATCAAGATAATACACAAGAAGAAGTATATGATAATACAGCGAGACATGCAGTGCTCTCTGCGCTTCAAGGTTTTAATGCCACTATCATGGCCTATGGATAGACTGGAACAGGCAAGACATTTACAATGGAGGGCTTCAAATACAATTGTGTAGATCCTTAAAGAGGTATAATTCCAAGAGCAATCGAGGAAATCTTTAAGCACATTTCAAATGGATCCAATGAATCTACCACCTTCATGGTCAGAGTGAGTTATCTTTAAATTTACAATGAAGTCATAAGCGATTTACTGAGAAGTGATAGATAAAATTTGCATATCCGAGAAGACAAAAAGAGAGGAGTGTTTGTTGAAGGCCTCTCCGAATGGGCTGTTCGAAATCCTTCAGAAATCTATTCCTTAATCTAAAAAGGAGCCTAATCTAGAGCCACAGCAAGTACAAAGATGAATGATGTAAGTAGTCGATCTCATGCAGTTTTTATAATAATAGTGGAATAAATGACAGAAATTGACAATCATAAATCTATAAAAGTGGGAAAACTCAATTTAGTAGATTTAGCAGGAAGTGAGAGAGTTCGAGTCACCGGTGCCACAGGTAGAAGATTAGAAGAATCCAAAAAGATAAATTAGTCATTGAGTTGCTTAGGTAATGTTATCTCTGCATTGATTGAATAAAAAACTCATATTCCATATAGAGATTCCAAAATTACACGTCTCTTAGAAGATTCCTTAGGTGGTAATTGCAAAACTACTATGATGGGAATGATATCACCAGCTATTGATGCTTTTCTTGAAACCTTGAGTTCAGTCAAATTTGCCAACAGAGCAAAGAATATTAAAAATAAAGCCACCATCAATGAGGATGTGGATCAAAAGGCACTATTAAGGAAATATGAATGTGAATTATAAAGATTAAGAAAGGAACTTTCAGAAAAGAATAAAACAATTGTAGATTCATCAAAATTAAGTCAATTGGAAGAAGATAAGAAGAGAGCAGAATAGGATAAGAATGCTGCTATGGCCGCACTTGAAGCGAGGAGCAAATAGTTTTTCATTGAAAGAGAGGAGAAGAAGAAGTTAGAAGAAAAGATTCGATAAATCAATAGTTAAATGTTAATAGGTGGATGTAATATTGAAAATAGTCCATAATTTAGAAATGCCATTGAAGAATAATAGAAGTTGATTAGAGCCTAATATGAGAAAAAGATTACAGAATTAGAAAAGGAAAGATCATAATTAGAAGAAGATAAGGTTCAAGTAGATAGATACAAACAATTAACTCTCAAACAAAGAGATATTATGATTGCCTTGACAACCAGGTTGAATGAAAGAGATGAAACAATAGTATAATTATAAGATGAACTTGATGCTTATGATAGAATCCATAGAGAAACAGAAACCATGCTTGATTAGAAATTATAACGAGTTTAATAATTAGAAGAGTATGTTAATTCAATGGGCGGCAACCTACCCAATGTTTAATAGATTTAATCAATTAGATAGAGTAAAATTAAAGATTGTGTCACCCAAGATGGCCAAGAAACATACAATATAACAAAGGAGAACTTATAGGATTATGAATCTTAGATTGAATAATTGACTCTAATTAATTAAGAGCAGGATTAAGAGATTTAAAGGTTAAACAATCTGTTATTGAATCATGAGAATTCAAATTTAATGGAATATGTGAAATGTATTTAATTTTCTAATTTCTTAGCCTCTGTTGACAACATAATCGATGCTTTATCCTAACCAAATGATGGATTAAAATTGTAAAGTGTAGCCAAAGATCTAATTAGTCTCTAAAAGATTCTCTCAGGAGAATAATAATAATCAAGTCATGCTTTTTCAAACATCTAAAATATTGTTCATTCCAGAAAAGAATCTCCAATGCATACTAATTAATCCAAAAAGTCTTTAAATAATTCATAAAATTATGATGATGATGAACAACCTCGTTAGTTAAATAACTTTTATACTTTTTCCAAGTATCTAACATATATATACATCTTAGTAAATCGTAGACTTCTTCGATGAAAAAATAAAAGGATCCTTCTCTTCCAAAGCCGTAAATCAATGTTTAAGAAATTATAAAAATGAGAGAAGTAAAAAGAAACCTCTATTCTTGATTAATAAAATATATATAACATTAATATTAAATTAAATTGAATTAAATTGAGTAATGAGGAATACATTATTGATTTAACTTAATTATAGAAGCTTGTTTGTTCATTGAAGACCAGAATGATTATGAAAATTTCTAAGTTAGGGGTTAGATTGAATAAATAAGATAAACTAAATGCTTAAGAAAATATTAGGCATTCTAAACAATGCATCTTGCCATTGTTTGAGTGAATAATCCAATATGGACAAGGAATTTAGATTTGCGATAAATTATGCAGATCATATTTTCTCAAATTTCATAAGAAGTCATGAGTAAGTATTGTGAATTTTACCTTTTTGTTGTAAAGGATAAAGCAAACATAGCTCAATAATATAGAGATCTATATTATAACCCAACTCTTCTTAAGGGCAATTATATATTTGAGATTTGTTCATTAAGGCTGGACATATATCAATGAAGAATCATGATAAGTGGAAACTAAGAAGGGAGGAAAGATGAAAATAGATTAAGACACTTCAAATCTGAAAGAAATTAAATCGACAAAAGAAGATTCAATACTCGCAAATTTGTATTAGTAGGATTGCCTAATTTAGGACTAAATTTGATTTATTTTATTAATAATTATGTTCACAGAGTAACCCTATTACGAAGCCAAGGTGTTTCTTAAATCTTACAATGATGCTATTGCATGTTTAAAGTAAGCTAAATGCAATTACAATCTTTTAGAGAGGCTGCTGAGTAAAAAGCCCACATTGAATTCTAAGAACATGTGTTATAATCACTTGCGACTGCTCGTACAAGATAGGAGGTTGATATTGTTATTATGTTAGCTGGATGTGAGAGATGGTTAAGTGGTGCCAGGATTAAATTTTGGGTAATCAAAGTAGACCAAGCTCTTCTAATTTTCAAAGTATAAATTTGTCATAAATGCCAAGTCATGTGTTTTAAAAATATTTCAAAGGATTTGAGGAATACAGCGGAAATTTCAAGGGCTTCCAATAGGTTTTAATAGAGGGACTGAAAAAGATTAAATCAGATGTGAAATGAGATATGAATAATGAATATATATACATTATCTAAAAGATAATTATATAAAAGGATAGAATTAATAATGCTTATTGTGAGAGCCTATTGATAGGATTGAATCTTGGGGGAGTTCATAAATAGAAAAAGTATTCTAGATTAAATATTGGAAAAAGTGAGGAGTGTAGGAGGGAAGGAGATGGTTGAATGGAAGAAATGAGAGAGAGAGATCATGTAATTAATTGATAAATCGCTTATTTAAATTTTGAATATCCTTTATGAGAATATCTAAAAATTATTTAAATAAATAAAATGCTCACAAGGGCATTAGCCAAATAGATGCGTCTAGGTAGATATTTAAGATAACGATTATAATAGGATTCTCCGCTGCTAAGAAGCAAGCAGAGACAGGCAAAGCAGCAACTGCAACTACAGGATAAATTGCTTAAGTCATCGGTGCTGTCGTCGACGTTCAGTTTGATGGCCCACTTCCTCCAATCTTGAATGCATTGTAAGTTTAAGGGACAAGTCATAAATTGATCTTGGAAGTGGCTTAACACTTGGGTGATAGCAGAGTTAGAACAATTGCTATGGATTCCACTGAAGGATTGATTCGTGGTTAACCAGTTTCAGACTTGGGAGGTCCTATTACAATTCCAGTTGGTCCAGAGACTTTGGGACGTATTATGAATGTGATTGGTGATCCAATTGACGAGAGAGGCCCAATTGAAACAAAAATCAGATATCCAATTCACAGAGAAGCTCCAAGTTTTGTCGATCAAGGTAGTGGTGCTGAAATTTTGATCACTGGTATCAAAGTGGTCGATTTGTTGGCTCCATATGCAAGAGGAGGAAAGATTGGATTGTTCGGAGGTGCTGGAGTCGGAAAGACAGTGCTTATTTAAGAATTGATTAATAATGTTGCTAAAGCCCATGGTGGTTATTCAGTATTTGCAGGAGTAGGGGAAAGAACAAGAGAAGGAAACGATCTTTATCATGAAATGGTTGCATCTGGCGTTATCAATTTGAGCGGTGGATCAAGATGTGCTCTTATTTATGGATAAATGAACGAACCCCCCGGTGCCAGAGCCAGAGTTGGTTTGACTGGTTTGACAGTTGCAGAATATTTCAGAGACGAGGAAGGAAAGGATGTGTTGCTCTTTATTGACAACATTTTCAGATTCACATAAGCATGTTCAGAAGTGTCAGCCTTATTGGGACGTATCCCATCAGCTGTCGGTTATCAACCAACATTGGCAACAGATTTAGGTCAATTGTAAGAACGTATCACAACAACCAAGAAGGGATCCATCACATCAGTCTAAGCTATTTATGTACCTGCAGATGATCTTACAGATCCAGCACCTGCCACAACATTTGCTCACTTGGATGCCACCACTGTGTTGTCAAGAGCATTGACTGAATTGGGTATCTATCCAGCTGTCGATCCATTGGATTCTTCATCACGTATGATGGACCCAAACATTGTTGGTGAAAAGTATATATTAGATTTAATATTATTTAGACATTATACAGTCACAAGAGGAGTTTAAAAATTGTTATAAGATTACAAATCACTTCAAGATATCATTGCCATCTTGGGTATGGATGAATTGTCTGAAGATGATAAACTCACAGTCGCCAGAGCCAGAAAAGTATAAAGATTCCTTTCATAACCATTCTTCATGTCTGAAGTCTTCTCAGGAAGAAAGGGTAAATTCGTATCACTCAACGACACCATTTCTGGATTTAGAGGTATTCCAATTATTCTAAAATCTAAGCTTTACTTGATGGTGAAGGTGATGAATACCCAGAAAATGCATTCTATATGCAAGGAACATTTGAAGATGTCATTGAAGAGGCTAAAAGAGTTGCTGCAGAAACCACCAAATGAAAAAATAATATATACATTATAACAATTACAATATTTTGTTTCCACTCTTTTCCCATATTATAATATATTAATGTAATTTAATATTAATAAAACTACTCCGTCTCGGTTGGATAACACCAGTTTAAAAGCTAAACTCACAAAACAATACGAATAACAACCTATTCCTTCCGCTGAGGTTTATAAAAGCACATTGTCCAAATTATACTAAACACAGAGTTTAAGCACCCTCATCAAAGATAAGAAATCTTCCATTTCTAGATAGGTTTCACAAAACAACCCATTCATCAATCCAACCGTTAGAACTAACACTCCCAAATCCACCAATACAACACCTTAAGTAATCTACTTTTATTTATAATAAGTATTACTTTTATGCCAAGTCGAAAGAGTAAAGCAAGGTTCAAATTTCATAACTTATCAGTAAAACATTACAGTAGAGTTACACCAAGGCTAGCAATAGCTTGATCAAGGATAATTCTTTTGGCATATCCACTAAATCCAATACTGATCGAAAATATAATTTGCTTTCTTTAGATCAGAACAAACTAATTTCAAAACCAAAAACAGAGAAGGTCCAATCCATCGATAGAACCTCAAATAATAACAATCTAATTTCAGATTAAAAATAATCACTTAATATTCATTTAAGCTTAGATGATTTTGTGACTCAAGTTAAAGTCCCAAATTCCTCGAAGAATAATTATACAATTTCTCCCTTTAAATAGGCAAAGTCACTTTCCCCAAACAACAGATTATTATCTACCACAAGAAGTATACTTAAGTGTCTATATAGAAAATATCTATTATGTGAGTTCTATGATTGATGCCATCAATGGAGCCTATGATTCCTAGTGTTAACTCTATAGAGACCACGCCTTATAAACTTACAACAGCATTGGGTTCTGCTTAAATCAAATAGAACCGAACAGCAGTGTAATCGAAAAGAAACTTATTAATTTACCCTAAAAAAATACCAAATGTAGTTTGTTGATATAACAATTTAGTCCAAAAAACTGTGGTTTTTGATCTTGATGAAACACTCATCCATTGCAATGAAAATTAAAACATAAAATCTGATGTTTATCTTCCAATTACATTTCCATCTGGAGATACCGTATAAGCAGGAATCAATATAAGGCCATGGGCCAAATAAATACTTAATCTATTGTCTGAAGTTTGCGAAGTTGTGGTCTTTACAGCCTCTCATCAATGTTATGCTTCCCAAGTGATTCAGTTTCTTGATCAGAAGAAAATCTTGAGTGCTTAATTATTTAGAGAAAGTTGCATAGTAACAAACGATGGAGTACACATCAAAGATCTTAGAGTGTTGGGCAGAGATATGAAAGATATTGTGTTGATTGATAATGCAGCATATAGCTTTGGCTATCATATCGAGAATGGCATTCCTATAATTCCATATTATGATAACAAAGAAGATAAGGAATTAAGGTAATTGTATGATTTCTTAATGTCTGATGTCCTTCCTGCATATGATTGTAGAAAGGTTATTCAAGAAACATTTAAACTTAGAGAGTTTTAGAATTATAATGGTCCTAAGGTTGCAATTGAAAAATTATATTATTGATTATAATTTAGTGATTGCACATCATTTTTTTGTGATTTTATTACCTTTTAATTATTCTCTAATCAAATTTTACATTTTTCGAATGTATTTCATACTACATTTAATCTTACAATTATTGATTGTTTATTTATTCAAAGGATTGATATTAGTTGCTAATATTGATTCCTCTAAATGGATTATGAAATAAATTCAATGATTATAAACATCTTAATGAGAAAAATAAGTTGGAGTTAACATTTATAGATGTATACATATAAATTGATTATTTTTGAATTCTAAGGTAAAATAGTTAAATAAATTAAAAATATTGTAAATACTCATAAGATATTTAAAATATACCTAAACCAATTAAGAATTTTAATACAGATTATGTTAGGAGACCTTTAACTTATTGTATTGGATATCTTTTCTATATCTTAGGATCAGTAAATATAAGACAAATATTAATGATTAAGATTTATAAATATTGAATGTATGAAGGGTGAAAAGAACTTGATTAATAATTATTGATGATATTTAATAATAATTAATTATCATGCTTCCGTTTTAATTTATCAACTAAAACCCATCTCATTAAATCCAAAATGTTCAGATATCATTTATTTAGGTTTATCCCCTTAAATCATTGAAATGTCATTTATGATGAAATCCCAATTGTCCTTTTCACTTTCTTTAGTTTCTTTAGGGTACTTCTTTCTTAGGAAATTGGCTAGATCGTCATTATGCTTGATTTCACTCTTGCCACTAATCTAAAGATTGTGATATTATAATGTAAAGTAATCCAAAGGATCACTGCTAGATTTTAAATGCCAGATTGGTTTAGCTTTTATGCATTTATTTAGATCCATAAGTTGTTTTTTTTACAAGTTGTTCATCTTCAAATTATACTGCAAATAAAGATCTTTAGCAGTATTTAGCAAAAATTATTTGCATTCTAACTAATTCATTTAAGAGTAATTCTGCTCTAGAATATTGCTTATTTTTTAATGAGCTTTATTTTAACCATTTTATTAATTATTCTTTCTAATATCTGGTGATTGATCATCTACTGGATTTTCTAAAATACTAATACATTATTCGGCATCGTCAGGATCCTTTTCAAAATCAGTTAATATTTTATTGTTTGCATTTGAGATTGGAGGTGGAGTAGGTTGTTTATTAGTTGAAAGTTTATTTAATTGAACTGATAAATTTAAATTAACCACTCTTTTATTTTTAAGAAAATGAATGTAATTTCCATATTAAGTTCTATAATATTGTACTTCAGCTTGTAACTATTCTATTTTTTAATCTCTACCCCTGATTGCCTTAATTAATTGCTCATTTTAACTGTAGCATTCGTTTATTTTCTTTTCCAAATCATCAGTTGATTAAGCTAACAATGCTACTTTGTTCTTTTCCTTTTCAAATAGTTCCTTATATCCTTTCAATAGAGTCTCTGTCTTCTGTAATTTTTCTTAATAATTTGCTCTAATTTTATATGTCTAATGAATTACCTCTCATTATTGGTCATATATTTGATACTATTTGGTAATGATTATTAAAACCCCTGATTATTCTAGCCTTGAGCAGGTGTGTCATTTGAATTATGATTAAATGGTTGATTTTGATATATTTCTTCATGCAATGAGATATTATCAGCAGAATCACCTGGATCATCATTATAAATGAAATCTAATAATTATGGAGCAAAGCTTACTTTTCATTTTATAATATGCCAAAGGACTCCTCAAGATGATTCTAAGTTTGATTAACTCTCTTTTGAAATTCTAAAAATAAATTGTGTAAATATACTTGATTGATGTCTTTAAGTTGTCTGTTCTACTCTTATAAATTTTGTGATTCTTGAGACAGCTTATTTAAGATCTATCTGGTTGACTCTAATTCTTCATGTAATCGTAAGGATTGTTCATGCGGTGTTACTATTTCTCGAATCTTGACCATTTATCCATTATCACCCAAACCTCTGTTTTTCTCAATATCTTGAATGGTATATTCTTTATCTTGAATGCATCTTCGTAACTCTCCCAGTTTCTCTTCCAATTCAACAATTAGATCTTTATAAAACGCTTAATTTTCCTCGGATATCTGTTAAGACAACAAAACCTTGATTTTTAATTGAAATAGTTACTTTATTTTAGGCCATATTTCTTTCCTCTGTTAATTTTGCCATTTAATTTCTAAGCATTTCATTCTCTTCATGCAGCTTCATTTGCAATTGAATAGTTTGAATCTGCTCACTAGAATTCGTTGAGTTGTTGGAATTGTTCAGACTTACAGGATAAATAAGCACTATTACTTTTGCTCAAGAGTTAAACGGAGAACTTCTTTATTCAATTTTAATGATTTCTCCATATCCTTCAATTATTCTGATAGTTGTTTGTTCTCTTCAAGCAAATATTGGATCTTTGCAGATTAACGATTCACTACAAATTCACTAGTCTCAAGTCCAAGAATGGTGTCTGTCATTATTTTTATTTATGATTTTAATACCGGGCTATAATCCAGGGTAATTAACACTACAAGGAACAAATACCTACCTAATGGGAACAGGCAAGAAAAGAATCCTCATAGACACAGGTGAAGGCAAGGAATAGTACAAAATACACTTGAAACAAATTTTAGAACAAGAATAATGTGAAATTTCAATTGTTCTTATAACTCATCATCACTTGGATCACATCCTAGGAATACCGTAGGTGCTTGAATTGTGTCCAGATGCCAAAGTCTACAAAGGCTTAGATCATAATCTGGAAAATGATAAGCTTTATCCTTTCCTCCCACTTTAGGACGGATAGATTTTCTAAGTAGAAAATTGCATCATCACAGCAATCTCATTGCCTGGACATTGTGTTGATCATTTTGGATTCATAACTTAGAGTTCAGAATGGTTTTCAGGTGATTGTTTGTTGGGAGGTTCATCTTGTTACATCGAAAATTTGAAATAGTATTTCTAAAGTATGGAAAAAGTAGAAAAAATGAAAATGTAATTTCTTTACCTATTTGTAGCAACACTATCCACCCAGGTCACGGATACTCAATAGTAGAAGGAGCTCAAGAAACTATTTAGAAACAAGTTTAGCATAGAAAGAACAGAGAATAACAGATCTATTAAGTAATAAATGGATAATCTGTTGATGAAAATAGTGTTAGCTGTCTATCCAGATGTGAATGATCCATACATGAAGAAATTTGTGAAAATTGCAGTCGAGGCTCACTTAATTAAACTAATTGATGATAATCTCATCAAATTTATTGATAATTTATATTATAAATGCTGATTATTTCATGCTTTAATGACAATTAAAATCTAATTCATTTACATCTTAATTTTAATAATCTCAACAATTTATGATATATAGTCTTAATGAAATTGATGGATATGCTTTTTAAAGTAATAAATAAACACGTAATGTCATTAAAAAAGATTTATAATTAAAATTGTGCTATCAAAAATAATAAAATAATGTTATTAGAAATATTTCTATTGGTTATTTTTGTTGGGTTATTAATTGGAATTCGGTGGTTATTCACACCTTATACCAATTGGAAAAACCAGTAAAAAACAGTAAAAAAGGATGATAGCATAGTGATAATATGTGATGGAAAAGAAATCAAGTATTCCACATATAAAAATAAATCTGATGTTTAATTGAGCATAATCATTCCATCATATAATGAGGAAAATAGATTAGGCAGAACATTAGAGGCTACATTTAAAGTAAAAATAGACACCAATTCGATTAGCACTTTGAAAAGTATAACTATGAAATAATAATCATCAATGATGCATCTAAAGATAAGACATTGGAAGTAGCCAAGAAGTATTCGATAAACAATAAAAACTTTAAGATTATTACTTACAATAGAAATAGAGGGAAAGGAGGAGCAGTAAGATTGGGAATGTTGGCAGCTGCAGGTGAAATTTAGTTAATGATGGATGCAGATTTAGCTACAGATTTAAATGAATATGAGAAATTATAAAAAGAAGTACATATGCAACAAAATTATGATAGTTAATTAAAATTACATAAAATGGGTTAGGATTAGTGGCAGGCTCTAGAAACCATTTAGTGAAAGATGTTGTTGTTCAACGAAAATGGTATAGAAACTTTCTAATGCATTGTTCGAATTTTATCATTAATACTATATGTGGTGTTAGATTAAAGGATACTCAATGTGGCTTTAAGTTATTTACCAAAAACACTTCAGCAATATTGTTTAGAGTGTTGCATTTAGAGAGATGGGCATTTGATGTAGAGTTATTTATGATTGCCTAAAAATACAAGGTGCCAGTCTCAGAATTACCAGTCAAATGGGAAGATGTAGAGGGCTCTCATTTAAATGTAGTAGAAGCCTCAATTTAGATGGCTAGAGATTTTCTATTAGTCAGAATTTTATATCTATTAAATATTTGGAATTTCAAGGACGACATTGGATTATGATGAGTTATATTAATAAATATAAAATAATTCAATTTTTATAAATATTTTAAAAATTCCTATTATATCTTTACATCAAAACTTCAAGAATGGTTCTCAAACTAATTCAAAATAGCTAATGGTAATTAAAATTGCTTAATTACTCTAACTCTGAAATATCAAATAGCATATGGAAAGTTTTGAATAAGCATCTTAAAATTACACTAAAACTCAAAATAAATAAGATTTTAGATTTTTTACTCATATTTGTTACTTTGGGTTGCCAAGAGGATGTATCATATAATATTATAATATAAATTTTCTAAAATAAAAATATAATAAATTCACTAATAAATTTTGCAAATGAATTAATGAATTTCATTGATAACGCTAAAACCAAAACTTCTAAAAATAGGTTTTTACTCATTAAAATTTATAATGATCATCCTGTTACAACAAAATAAAAGATTTAAATGTTACGTGATATATAAATAATTATAATTTCTAAAAAGTGAGATGATGTAATAAAATTATGTTATTTCAGCTTCTGTTTATATTTTTTGTACTGATATAAATAAGTGAGTAAACTTGCAGGACTGATGATTGTTACAGCTGTTCTCTCCATAAAGATTGTTGTATTACATGTAAGTGCTATAGGAGTTAAAAATTTTAAAGAACAATTGATACATTCGGATGTGACTATAAAAAATGTGATAAATATGATGATGGAAAATGCTATTCATGTGTAGATGGTTATTATTTACAGAATTCCATTTGCTATCTATGTACTTACCCATGCATTGAATGCTATAGTAGTACCAAATGTAAGAAATGCGCATCAGGATATAAATTAAGCAATGATAAATGTATCTAATGCACTGTTCCATTATGCAAGGATTGCGATAGTAATTCAAACTAATGTTCTTAATGCGTAAATAATTCAACTTATGATTCATTTATTCCAGCATGTGTATGCAATGCGTCATACTTTTAAGTTAGTGGGTAATGCAAATAATGCATTTCAATATGTGGGACATGTTCAGGTTCATATAATTATTGTGCTACATGCAAAAGTGTTTCGAATATGTCAGCAACTCCAATAAATGGAGTATGTAGTTGTATAACTGGATATTATTGGAATCAGAGCAATTCATAATGTAATTAATGTACAGCACCATGTCTAACATGCGAAGAATAAGCAACGTAATGTACTTCATGTAATGATGCATCACTTATAGTGAATGACGATAATGAATGCACTTGTCAAATAGGATATTTTAGTTCCCCCAATGATCCTTATGTATGTGAGGTATGTTCCAAAAATTGCCTAACATGTGCAGATATCAGTAACAAGTGTACATCATGCTATGAAAATTATGAATTAAATGATGGCAATAATACTTGCTTTTGTCCTGATGGATTTTTTGAAATAAATAACACATGCAATAAATGTGACACATTGTGCTCTAAGTGTTCCTCTAATTCAGTGTGCACAGAATGTATTGACAACCAGTTCGTTAAATTTTCAAAACAGTAATGCACCTGCATGGATGGATATTATTTTGATGCCATCTAAACAACATGTCTATAATGTGATTCAACGTGTAAAACATGTTAATCCCAAAAGGAAATGTGTAGTTCTTGCAGTTTAGAATCAAATAGAATTCTAAGTGTGAACAAGTGCATATGTAAACCTGAATATTTTTTAAACGTGAATCAACTTTGTATCTCCTGTAAGTCTAAAGAAGCTATAGCTATTGAATTTTGCGAGTATAGAGATTGTGCTGATGGAATGTGGTCTTATGGAGAAGAATGTGATGATGCAAATTATTCATCCAGAGATGGTTGTTACAATTGTCTCAGAGAGCCCTAATATTATTGCATTAATGAAATTTAAAAACCATCTAAATGTTTTAAATGTCAAGAACATTGTTCTATTTGTGAGTATGACTACCTTAACAAAAAACAAGTTTGCAAACTAGCTATCGATGGATACTACATTGAAAATTCTATTCAAATAAATAAATGCGCAGATAAATGTTTGCATTGTTAATCAAATGCTAGTCAATGTACCAAATGTAGATTCCTTAATATAAGTAAATCAAATATCAATTGCCAATTATGCGAATATAAATAAGGATATTATTCAGATTATGAAAATAACTCTTGTTATTCTAAATGTGGAGATACAATCTTAGCTGATGTCGAATAATGTGATGACGGAAACAGGATTAATGGAGATGGATGCAGTGATCACTGCATTTTAGAAAAGAGTTTCGATTGTATAAATGGAGTTTGTAGTAAAACCAAGAACCCAATTCCTTCAGGATAAGAAAACAAGATTTATGATGTGTATACTCCAAAGAGGTAAGTCCTAGTGAAGTATGACTAAGAATTGAAACTAGACCAATAATTTGACATCAATGATCAATTGTACATCTCACTGAATTAACAAGCCAATATTAACTACATTATTAGAACAAATGTAGAGTTCGAAACAAAAAATCTAACCAACTTTTCATTTACCATTGACTTAGAAGTTGATAGATCTATATCAAATGCCAGTTTAATAATTAAATACTTAACACCTTCAATATTTAAAAATGCTCAAAATCAATCTTAAGAAATTGAATTTATAGAAGTTAAAATATCTGACATCGTTATTATTTCGTAATCAGTGTAAGGATTGACGACGGCTACTGTTAATAGTTCGAATTACGTAATCTACGGTTTATTAGCTTTGCTGGGTTGTGGCTTGGTATTAGGTGGTATTGACATCTATTTCAACCTCATTGATACTCTGTAATACTTATCGTATTTGTATTACATCAACACCATATTTCCATATAATGTAAACTAATTTTTTGAAAATCTCAGCTTTGCTTAGTTCACAATAGTTTAAGATTTCATAAAACTTGATAATATCTTTGAATATGACTTGGAGTATGATTTAGAATTTCATTCAATTACAGTTCCATTCAAAATTAGAAATTAAGGTATGTACTCATGCTTCATTCTTAATTTTGCATCAATTTTCTCTTTGTTCCTTATTGGCCTTGCATTTTATATAGTAGCCAACATAATAACAATTAAATTGCTGTCTTCTAAAGATGATTTGTTACTCTAAAATGATTCTACTTCAAATATTCAATTGTATTTTCTTAAACTTTAAACAAAGTTCAAACACTTTACTTTTTAATGGGCATTAATTACGATTAGGGAATTCTTTTATAGCGATCTGTTAAGAATATTCATGACGACTGCTAATGAATATAGTTTTACATTAGGATTAGGCTTAAAAGGACTAGACTTCAGCTCTACATTTGGATTAATTAATTCAACTATTACATTTCTTTTTTTGGGTATTTACATCTTAATAACATTCCTATCGTTCAAGATTGTGGATCAAAAAAGATTTGCTATTAAGGAGACATAATACAATATTAAATTTGGATCTGTCTTCTAAGGTGTTTAAATAGCAAAATATTAGAAATTGTACAATCCATTTTTATTGATAAAAAAGTTCCTCTTTATGACATTTTTAATTTATCTTTATGATTACCCTATAATTTAGGTGTTGTAAGTCACTTTGTTAAGTCTAGTCACTGTTTTCTTTTAGATATTTTACTCACCTATCACAGATAAACTAGAATTGATTAAGTAGATAAGTTGTGAAATTTCATCTTTTATAAATTCATTGTTGTTCACTATATTTTGCATCAATGATCTTTTGAAATTCTTGAACGAAAACTAAAAGTTGATTATTGGATGGGTAGTTATATCGAATGTCTTAACAGGATTGTTTAGTTAATTAGTAATAAATACTATTTAATAATGGAAATATCTCTATTATAAATTTTAATTTATAAGAAGTACAGCTAATTCATGTAGTCAACTATGCAAATCAAAGTTGCAGTCTACTTAGGCACCTCATGATGTATTTTTGTGAGTCTTTAGTTTCATTTAACATTTATATATATAATTTTTTTGATTTTATTTCATTTTTATTTAGAATGACAAACATTTAACATCATTTTAAACTAATCGTCACACAAACAATATTCTTAGCTGATCTGATCGAAACAACCATAAGTTTAAGCGTTTTATTTGTTCTTGTGATGTATTGGATTAATTGTAAATATGTTTCATTGAATTATTAGCTCAGATATCGAGTAATAATGAGACTATTATTGAAATAATGAAGGCTAATATCACTCTAACAGGTATTGATCTCTAACAAACTATTTCCTCTATTGGGTTTTTGTTCAACATTACCAAATTGACTCTTAATCAATAAGTGATTTCCTAACAAAATTCTACTTTGCAAACAGTTATAGGTGCATTTACAATTATAGAAAGGTCTTAAATTGCATAGATCGAAGAGATTACTTCAATATCAAATCCGAATCTCCCTTATTATGTGATCTAACTTACTTCCAACAGTTTGTGTACTTCAAACAACACTTTAAATTAGTATAATTTTAAATCAACTCCAAATTGCACAAATAATCCGAAATTCTGTTAATTATTGCAGAACTCTTATGACGATTAGGGTAATTTTGATCTATTTTTGTATATGAAAAATTAGAGGAAAGATTAAGTGGTATTTTATACTTTGTTTCCCTTTAACATTTAATTGACTTAAATTTGTGGTCTATTAGCAAATGATTCCTTGTTTTAGTGTTTCATCTTGGATTTAGCAGAATATAAATAATCCGAGGGGATTTTGTATTCTACATTGTTTACAATAAATAATTCAGTAGTTTCAGATGTAACTGATGACTGCCTGAATGCTGAAATGAAGTGTAGTGCAGCTACAGAGTTCAATAATATGGATTTAGATTACTCGAACACTTAAGACATCGTTGAGTTTTTAGATAGTATAGACAAGGCTGATTGGTTGAATTAAATGCATCCTCTGACTCGTTATTATGAATCATCCAATCCAATTATTAGTTTATCAATGATAGATATTAAGGTCTACTTTTATTAATCAATTCACATCGGAACATATGACATCGTAATAATTTATTGATTTCTATTAGAACGATGAATTCTATTCAGAGTACAAAGAAGATTTAATAAATTAAACGAAAGAAGAGTAAGATAAACTAAATGCGCTTCAATAAAATTATGATAGATGGCAATTACTAGCTACATTCAACAACAAATTGTATACAAATTTAGTAGAAACCAAACAGGAAGATTATTTTGATTTCTTTCTGTTTTTCTAAGTGTTTATTCTCTTTTTATTGTTGACTCCAATTTTAGTGAATATCATAACTCAAAATGAATTTGATTAAATTAGCATAACTTTAAATTAAGTATCCCTGATGATGTAAATGTTTTTTGAGTTGGATTATGATACATTGCATAAAGACTTGAATGCATTTAAAGAATACTAAAAAAGTAGTTTAACTGAATTGAATGAATTGATCTAAATATTTGATGAGTTTTGTTGGTTGATTGATTTCTTAAATCAATTAAACAAGAAAGTTCATGATTTGGAAAAGTTAGAACAAGGATTGCATATATTTTAGAAAAGGAACTCCATAGAATGTTTGGAATTGATCTTGATGAAGTTGGTATCAGAACACAGTCGATAAAAGGATTATGAGACCGCTATCACATACAACAAACAACTAATCTCTATACTTGAATAATAAAAGAAAGACACATAACTGATAAAATCGGAGGAGATTATGAGAATAAACTATAAATTGTTTCAATCTCTAAATCAATTATTAGATCTATTATCAAAATTATTAATTCGGAATAAGAGTAGAGATAGAAATGCTTTCAACTAAGCGAAAACTTTATTCTCAAATATTATGGATTTTGCGGACACCTTGGAAATAAAGTTCACTTTACAAATTAAGTTATTCTTTAAAAAGTGCAAACTACTCTTCAATCTTAGGAAAATTAAGGAAGCTGAATAATGCATTGATTAAGCTCAATTAATTTTGTAATAAAACTACACCTTAAGTAAAAACGCATCTTACTAAAACAAAACATTCAATTAAGACAAAAAGCTATTGTAGGTTGTTCAATAGAAAATCTATTTCTATAGAGGATTAATATATATGTCAAGCGGTTAAATACAGCCTGCCATCTAATAGTTGATGTTAGCTCTAGATTATGGGAATGTATATCAGACAAAATTAAGAGTAAAAACAATCAAGATGCTGTCAACATTACTTGCAAAATAAGAGAAATTTAAATCTGATAGTTAAATTTTAAAATAACTACAATACTTTTTCCAAAATTAAAAACGATAGTTTATATTCCTAATTGACTCCACATAAAGAATGGCTGAAAACCAACTTGAAGTTGTAGAAACCATCAAATAAGTATGAATTTAAATAAATATAATTAGATATTTTAAATTATGAATGACGATGATTTGATATAAGTATCAACTTTTGATGAGTATACGCATGTATTAATTGAATCCTAATCAAAAATTAGTATCCTAGAAACTATGGGTAAAAATTATATGGAAGATGGATTTTTTGATTATTTAAGTGGGAGGTAGACCCAAAATTAGCGCAAATTATATTAAGGTATTTTGGAATCCTTAAATCAATCCCTTCCTAAAAAATATACTAATTACTTAATTGTAATGACTTTTGGAGAAAATTATGCTGAACAAAATGATAAATTAGTAGAATTGTTGGAAAAGTTGAGAGAAGGATTCTGGCATTTCATATTGTGTAGTACATAAGAAAAGAAGTTTATGAATCAAAGGAATACATTCTATCGATTAACAGATGAGGCCAGAGATGGGACCTATATTGAATTGTTTGCCAATTTTGAAGAAGGTTTAAGTAAGATTATTTCGCTGTGTAATTGATATTATTTATTAAAATTTTTATATTTTCAGTTAACATGTTTGAGGATGATTTTGATTTAGGGAAATAAGATGATTTGGCCAGGGAAGTGAAAGAGATGGAGGTGAAGGCAAATACATTGCAAGAGAAATCGCAGCAAGATCGATATCTGGGTAATCATTTGATGGATCACTCTTAGAATTCAGCGAAATGGTATTAAATTCCTTTAAAATGATGGAGTAAAAATTTAATGAAATGGAATCTAAATTTAGCAAGGTCTTATAGTCTAAAAACAAAGAAAATACTACAAGCAACATCAGATAAAAAAGTGTTTCGGTTGGAAAGATCTACGCGCCTCCAAAAATATCAGTTGGTAAGATTTCTTTACCTAAACATTAACCCCCTCAATTAAAGAAAAGCATATTAAAAACAAAAAAATGAAATGAATTTAGTTACTATTACAACTATCTATATTTAATATTTGTTCAATAATTCTACAATTTATATATTAATATTCCAAATGTATTTAAATTAATATAAATAAAGCAATTTTTGTATTGCAATACTACTAGGATTTAAAGAATGGTTCAAAAAAATAATTATTTTCTATTTTACTCAACCCTCTCTTAACTCAATAATTTCTGTAAATATCTGTTGAATAGAACATTTTCTCCTCTAGGTGCTTGACATAAATACGTTAATTTATTATTAATTTTAGAACTTTCTAGCAAATTTATGGATGTTTTATAAGTGGCTGATTCTCGAAAAATTTAAACTAATTAATGTCTTAACTTGCTTCTATTGGTATTGACTTTGGTAGTTAGAGATCTGTGATCGCTGCAGCGCTAAAGGGAGGTGTGAAGATTCTAGACAATGAAGGATCACATAGAGAAACATAAAATGTGATAGGATTCACACTAGAAGAAAGATTCATTGGTGAACAAGGGGCCTTATAATAAAAGTCTAATTTCAAAAATTCTGTTGCTTTTTTCAACAGATTCTTAGGATTACATGGTGAACCTTCATTTAGAGCAGAAGAGACAAAATGGTTGACTGTTCCTACATCTATTAATGATTCTGGAAAAACCTTATTTGAGGTCAATTACCTTGGTTAAAAGACCACATTCACTCCTGAGTAACTGACAGGTTCTATGTTGAACAAATTAAAGCATGTTATAGTTCACAATGACATAAACGTACAAGCAAGTAATGTTTGTATAAGTGTTCCTGCATATTATACTGAATCAGAGAGAAAGGCTTTGATTGATGCATGCAAGATAGCTGACATTCCTTTAGAGAGATTGCTCAATGAAACTACAGCCATTGCAATTAATTATGGTTTATTTAGAAAAGCAGATTTGGATGCTGAAAAACCAAGACATGTGGCATTTGTTGATTTTGGACATTCCAAATTTTCAGCATTCGTAGGTTCATTCTATAAGGAAAAGGCTTAGGTTGTTGCTCAAGTGAATGAGAGAAACTTAGGTGCTAGAGATATTGATTGGTTTTTATTTGAAAAATTCGCCACACAATTTGAATAACAATCAGGTGGTCTAAATGTAAGAAAAAATCTCAAAGGAAAATTAAGACTATTGGAATCTATTGAAAAAGCTAGAAAAATATTGTCAGCTAATTCAGAGGCTCCAATTAATGTGGAGTATTTGGTGGAAGATGAAGACTTCAATACTTTAATAAAGAGAGAAGATTTTGAATAGATGATCTAGCCAGTTTTAAATTAGATTCAATAACAATTAGAATTTTTATTCAATTAAGTTTAGAATTTGAAATTGCAATTACATTCAGTTGAAATTGTGGGAGGAGCAACAAGAATTCCAGCAGTCTAAAGATTAATTGAAAAGATATTCAAAATTGAATAAGTATCTAGAACTTTGAATGCCAGTGAATCCATATCAAGAGGATGTGCAATGATGGCAGCAATGAAGAGTCCAAATTTCAAGGTAACTGAATACAAAATTGAAGATTGCAACTATTATCCAATTAGAGTAGGTTGGCTCTATGGATAATAATTAAGTTAATAAGATCAAAGCTAAGGATTGGTTAGATGTTTCCCTGAAAAACAATGTAAGGTCCTTTTCGATTAAAATAATGCAATTCCATCAATTAAGAGTTTCGCACTCTTAAAAACAGAACCAATCGAAATTTCACTATTCTACGACCCTGTCCCTGAAGGCTCTTAGGCCATTTTATGTAACATTAATAATTAATTTTAGAATAAATTCGTATTCCTCCACAAAACCCAAAACACTAAGAACATTCAACTAAAATCAAGATCTTATTGAATTAAAATGGATTATTACAATTAGAAGAAATTGTATTGCAAGAAGAATTTATGGAAGAAGTTAAAGTGCCTGTATTAATATTTAATTTATTAATTAGATTGAAAAGCCAAAACCTGCAGAACCACCTAAGCAAGCAGAATAACCTAAACCAGCTGGTGATGCCTAATAATAACAGCCATAAGCAGCTGAACCTTAATAACCAGCTCCAGATGCTATATAATAAGAATAACCAAAACCAGAAGAACCATAATTTGAAATCAAATAAAAGAAGAAAACTATTTAAACTTAAATTAATTGCGAAACTACTTCATTAAATAGTATGTCTAAAAAAGACATTGATCATCTGTTCCAATAAGAATGTGAGATGTAAAATTAAGACAAATTGGTTCATGAAACTCATTTCAAAAAGAATCAATTAGAAGCCTACATTTATGCTTGGAGAGAAAATGTCAATAACAAGTATGCCCAACACGTTAAACCAGATCTCAAAGCACAAATTCTCAAAGATTTAGATGTGTAATACGAATGGCTCTATGGTGATGGTCAAAAGACTACAAAGAGAGAGTACTCTGATAGATATGATAAACTCGTTTAATTGTGTGGTCCAATAGTTACAATTGCTGAAGAGTTTAGACAAGTCCCTGAAACCATTCAACAAGCATTATAATATACTTCCAATTATGAAGCCTTTGTTACTTCATAAGTAATTTTTATTATTTATTATTGTAGGAATAACAATATGCTCATATCACACATGAAGAAAGACAAATAGTTGCAAATGAAGTGAATGCTTTCAAATTATGGTGCAATTAAATTTTGGACGCTTTAAGCAAAGCAGATAAAACAGTCAGATTTACAACTTCAGTTTAATAAATCCAAACTAAATTTAATGAATTCAAAGATGTAAATATTTTGTAATAACATCGTAGAAATGTTAACCAATCGTACTAAAGCCTAAACCTGAACCACCTTAAGAGGACAAAAAGGTTGAGGAACCTCAACCTTAATAATAACCATAATAAAACGAAGCCAATAATAATAACAAAATGGAAACAGAATGATTTATAATTAAATGTTATTGTTGTTAATGAGTAATTCAATAATTATATCTCATCTTTCTTTTTTAAGTAAAATGATATTGTAAAATATACAATTGCTTAAACGCTAGGGGAAAGCAGAATTTAATTTATATGACGAAGAATTTAGAGATATTGAAAGCACTATTATTTAAATTTATTAAGCTCCAATTACTAGGTATAAGATTGTAGAAAAGTAATTGAAGAATTTAATAATTTAAAATGATCCTTAGATGGAATATATTTATCAATAGCTATTGTAATGGTATCATAGTTATTCAGCAATTCACTGAAGAATTTTAGTTAATCAATAAAGATCAATAACATTTTATGATATTATTCCCTGAATATATTTATATTGATCTTCTCTAAAAGATCTTATCAGTTCTTATCAAAATTTCGTACAACCTTTTTTGAAATTCAAGTGCAAATAATACATTTTATTTTGACATAAATAACATTAAATTATCTTATGATTAAATAAGTTAATTCAGATTAAAAAATGGCTCTTTGAATACATTAAAGTAACAGAATACTTTGATAAAAACCTAAAAAAATGATGTGATATAAATTATAACAATAAAAATTAAGGAGATTAATATAACTTAATTTATTTTTCTGATTTATTTACATTAATTCAGGAAAATTGTAATCAAAAGGAAGAATATTGAGAATTAAAAATTATAGTAAATTTTACTATTCTTAGACTTGATCAATATGTTCATATATATATATGCATTATATTCTTCTCATGGCTTTTGTTCTTCATTTTAAAGAGCTTCATCGAACACAAATTCTTCTGGCACTTAATTAGGTGGAGCAGGTTATTAATTTACAACTTGTTCAATGATTGGTTATTTTGGTTTAATAGTGAGAGAAATCACATCAGCGGGTTATGAAGGTTCACTATCAATTAGCATAACCAAACCTTATTTACGATCCTATTTGTGAAATCAAATAAATACTTTGAGAAGTGGTTAATAACGACTTCCTTCTAATAATTAAATATGTTTTTTTTATTTATCTAAGATTCTGCAAGGGTTTGTTAAAATATATTGATTTGGTTCATCCTTTGGTGCTGCCTATTTCTTCTCTTGTTCTTCTATGAGACTTGGTTATCTGATGATTTCACTTGGTTATTACTCTAAACTCATTTTTGATTATTCTCTTGATATGACACCTTAAGAAGCAGAATCAATTTGTTTTTTTTCTAAATCCTTTTTATTAGTTCTGGCTCTCACTTTCTAAGTTGTACTTAATTGTACGGTCTTTTTTTCAGCAATTGGCTTTTCAGATTTTTTTTATGGAGGAGGATAATCGAAAACCGATTATTTAGTGTTACATTATAACTGAAAGTCTTTAGGAATATCAAGGCTAAAATAGAATAAATATAGTATAATACTTTTCATTTAAACCAATAAAGGAAACTGGTTATAAAGCAATAGATATCATACTTAAACAAGGATACCAGTACCAATAATTTAAGAACCATAACATACCTACACAAGCATTCAGTTTTGGTACTCCTTATCTACTTTATAATGAGACTGTCAAATTTCTACCTCCACAGTCTAAAAAGCCTTAAAAAATGGCTAATCCCAACTTCGTTAAGACAGTCTCGTGCTTTTTTGCAGCAATTTCATTTATAGATTTCATGATTGGCTCGAATTTAGGTTCCTAATCTTTGTTTCCTTAAGAAAGAATCATTCCCAAAGCTATCAATGCGCCTTGTCTTACAAAATCTACTGTATCAGTTAACATAGGCTCAATTGCAGATATAGCATCTGCATAAAGAGTGCCAGCACATGCTATACCCAAAGCTATGGCTGTTCCATATCTGATATGGGGATTGTATGACAGTGTCAATAATCTCATAATTTTTGGCAGAGATTCATAATTCTTAAACATCAAGAAACCAAAGGAGATGACTGCTGCTCTTCTAACATCTTCAGAAACGTCATTAACTGATATGGAAAGCAATTTTTAAATAATTTTATTGCTTCCAGTGCCAACATATGCAAAGGCTAAAGTGAAGCAACCACCATATCTAATTAATGGATCATTTGATTGTAACATTTGATCAATAATCACATCAGCCTTGTCCTCTTAATGAAAGAGTATACAAGCAATTGATAATGATAAAGTTCTAACAATCTTGTCTTTGTCTGATTAACCAGCTAAAACTAATAGACGCTTGCATTATTCAATAGATCCTGATCCAGCATTCAATAAACCGAAACCAATGCTGGCACCTTCTCCATAAACTGATTCATTTTTTGAAACCAAATTATGGTAATCTTAATTCAATTTTTCATCTTCAGAAGCAAATGCTACCAATCCTGATCCTAGACAAGCACCGTGAATTATTTATTCTTTTTAAGATTTCATATGATCTGATAATTTGAGTTAAAGTTATTAATCTTAAGTTCCAAAATGAATAAGTCCTAACCCATAAAGAGCTCCTCCTATTTCAAATGGATTTGTCTAAGACAAATGTGTTGCCATAATTTGTTAGGATTCTTCTATATTGTATTTGTGAATCATTCCCAAAGTAGATGTGGCGGTGAATCTCTACCAATAATTACATTTAGTAGCCCATTATTAATTTGCCTGTAAGAATGAGGTATCTTATGTGCCTGCAGTGGCTAAAGCATGGCCAAACATGCATGCTCCATGTAAAACGCTTGATTGTTTTGGATCATTAGAGCCTTTGATTTTATTCAAGACTTCAACATCTACTTATTTGTGATTCTTCAAAAAGTATAGATATGCTTTCCTTTGTTATTCTCCTGATAACAATTTAATTAATTTGTCTCTGACTTCTTGGAATTGTTGATCTATAGGTAATGCTGCTATGATCTTTTGTATAAATTGAGGTTTTTAGTTTTATGCCAAGTCTATACATAGTTACTCAGCTAGAAGCAATGGAGTACCAGTTTATAATTTATAATGGTTTTCATTTATTACTAAAGTCCAAAGGATTTCGGCAACTTTGATAGCCTCTCCCAATTGAATTAAGACTGTGACGAATTAACCCCATTCTTCATTTGGAATTTGACCTTGTTTTGCCTCTTCATAAATTAGATCAACTGAGAGTCTTAACAGTTACTCTTTGAATTATCCTCTTTATGTATTGAAGAGATGAAGAACAGATATCATTTTACCAGGGTATTTCCATTTATTAAGAATTTCAGCAACCCAATCAATCCTCTTGCATTCAACTGCTACACCTATAGCAGATATGTGATTATTTTATCCACATGACAATTCTAAAATATGTTTAATTAGTCTTATTCTTTCTTCAGTTGCCTTTCCTGATTAACGATATTATTCAACACAATGTTTTATTAAACATTGATTAAATTTATCATTCAAATCTGATTGCCAATAATGTCCGCTCTGCAAAGCATAATTAAGAGACTCATCAAAGTTATCTAGATGGTATTGAATCTTGGCGCATAAATAAGATGCTAATTGTCTTTCTGGAAATTTTGGATCTTCGCTTAATGATTCTCTAAAAGAAATATAAATTTTGGATTTACATCTAACTAAGTAATTCGGATATCTCTGACCAGTGTTGATCCACCTAGTTTAACATTTCTTTCAATGCTAAAATACGAAGATCATTATCCTTTTCCAACAAAAGAGTATTGAAATTCATAAATTTAAATTGTAAATAATACTAATCTCAACATTCACTTAATTTTTATTCTTAAATCATGTCAAATTTATAATGTATATTAAATTTATTGTTTACCTGATTCAAACTTCAATAGTTTGGTAGTATTTTATCTGAATGACATTAATTGATCATAAAAAAAGAATTAGTTATCTATAAAATATACAAAATTAATTATTATTTTTATCTAACATGATAAATGTCAATAACAATTTAGAAGATGAATTTGATGGACTCACAATAGAGAAACTATCAGGTATTAAGAGATCTGTTTTATAATCTCGAGATGTTCATGATTGGTTTAAGAAAAGGTTTATTAGTTTGTTGTAATTTCAGATATAATGATAAAGTCAAAAAGAAATATTTATATTTTCCTGAAGAAATAAAACAATAGTTGGAAGTTAAGAAGATCTTCTAAAATTTCGACCAAAACAAATCAAGTATAGAAGTTAAATTTAATTTAGACAATTTGGATATGAGTGAGTTATATGAAATGTTTTAAAAAAATGGTTTCAAAATCACTGAAGAACAATCACAAAAGTTTTTCAAAATTGTTGATAAGGATAGAGATAGTAATTGATAAATGTAATCAAAGATGCTTTAAATTGGAGCGAATTCAAAAATTCAGCTTTCAACGAATAGGCTGCACAAGGTATAATCTCTCCAATAACTTTATAGTCTTCTATGAAATAATGAAAGAACTAAGAGAGAATATGGAAAAAGAACAAAAATTAGACAGTTCTTCTCCTGCTGGAAAATACATGCCATTTACTTTTAACAATATGATCTCTTATCTAAGCTATCTGGCAAGCAGAGATGAACTAAAAAAAGCCATTGATGTTTCAAACTATCCCTCTAATTTAGGACACTTCCATAACTCAGTTGGAGAAATTCAAGAAATACATGGAAATGATCAATTTAAATTCAACAATAAGCGTCTAAAAACGAAATCAATCAACACCCGAAGTTGATATCCTTCATGAAGAAGTAGGAGAATGCCAAAATCTCGACCAAGAATAAGAATTTATTAAGAGAAATGAACAACGGTTTAACTTATACAAAAACTCCTGTAACTGCTCCCATATAACTTAGTTTATAATTCTCAAAGTGCTTCAAAGAGTCCCAAATCCTAAAAATAACCCAATGTGATGCCAAAAGAATAATTATTGAGAGTACCCAAAAAATTAAGAGAAATTGATGCTATTGTAAGATCACATCAAATTCCTGAGACTTAAAGCCTATTTAAATTAAAAGAAAAAACTAATAACTCAATCATAAAATTGAAACAAGACGTATCTAAATATATACATTTAGCTAAAACCTAATATAATATAAATGTTGATGAGTTATAAATAGTAAAAACTTCTTAATAATTTTATAGTAAAGCACAAAAAGTAAACCTCCCCTTACTTTGAAAATCAGGAACTTCGAAGAAGACTTTAAAAATGCATTGGCAGCACACCAAATGTCATAAAGTAATTCTGAACCCTATTTTAAATTCAACGGGTCATCAGTTTAAGAACATCAATTGCCAATTCTTGAAGAACAATCAAAGATTATTACCAATCCAAACTTATTTGGAGATCATCTACCAATTTCAGTTTATAAGAATTAAGAAAATTTTAAAGAACATAACAAAATTCATTTAATTCAAATACATGTAAGTCTTTATTCAAAACCTAAAGTGATGTATAAGATACAACATTATTAATAGTTTACAAAAACTGCTATCAGTCAAAAATCTAGATCTTAAGGAAGATTATGAATATTCAAAATCATGAGAAATTCTAATTTAGTGTCCCTCAAACTGCTAAACCAAATTAACTGAGAAGCTAAGTCAACTGCACCCTAATTGAGAGTAGGAACTAATTATGGAATGAAAGTAATTTATTTAAAATTATCTTCTCTAGAATCATCAGAAAGTAGAGATCCAACCTTTACTAGGCAAATCACTGATCAAATAATGAATTATTTTTTTTATTTTTTACAATGAGTGAAGAATTGAAAGACACTTTTGATGGTTATTTAATGTTTGACTTCTCTAATTTTCATGGTTTGATGGCTTAAACATTTGACAATGAGGAGATTGACATTCCAAGAGTAGAAAAACAACCGAAAAGAAAAGCATATAACATTCCTGGTCCTTATCTAGATAGTCCTCCAATTGAATTTGAACGTAAGAAAATCAGTTAAGGAAGGCAGCGGCGATTGTAGTGAAGGAATTTTATTTAATGGATAACTGGGTGAAGACGATATTCCAGAGGTTAATTTAGATGAAGATTGCTTATCAAATTTCAATTATTCCACTTCTGGGTTCAATTTATTAGCGAACCTTGATTTTGAACCTGATGAAGATGCTTATGATAATGCTATTAACGCTACAAGTGAACCGAACTCTTTACATCATCGAAATTCTAAAATATCAAGAACCAAAAAGATATCAATTTTTTCTCCTACTCTACAATTTGATGACAATGTTGATCAAAAAATATAAATGATAACTTTGCAGAATATGGAATTATTAAAAAAAGAAGATCATTATGACATTGATGATTTCTATAAATTTCTTACATCCTTAGATTTCTTGAATGTTTCTAATCAGAAACATAATGATGATTTGATGAAAGTCGACTAATTATTTCATTTGGTTTAAATAAGATAATTTTTTGATAAGATGGTCGTGATCTTATTTTAAAAGACTGATTAATCACATTCCATAAGCTACACTTCTAAATTGGACTCTTTTAAAGAGAAAATGGATCACTTCATTAATCTAGTTCAATATATGGTTGATGATGGAACATATAGACAGAAATCTTTGAGAGATCAGCATGTCTTTAAAAAAGATTATACTCTAACAATGTCAGTAGCATTTTTTAAGGGATTAGAAATTATCTCTTTATACAAATCATTGTTGATGCAAAAAAATATGCAAGATAGATTAAAAAAAGTACTTAGTATTATCCTATTATAGTATACAACAGCAAAGAAGAATTTACATTCATATTGGAGATTGTGGGGACTTATCAAAGAATTTGAGATTTCTTTCGTTTAGAAAAATATTCAAAAGTCCCCTAATCTTACAAATTCTACCTTAGGCAACTAAAAAGAATCAGTTGAATTAGCAATTCTAGATCCACATGCAAAAATTCAGATTGCAAGAAATAAAGATAATAATAATAAAATATCCTTGTAAGGCTTTGATAAATATCTAAATAAACCTTGTTTAAAAAATACTAATTATTGTTTTGCAGGAAAATGGAATCAGAAAAAACTCCAAACTAGTCAATATTCAATCTATTATTCTAATAACTAATCAGACTAATTGGATTATTGAACTATGATATATCATTATTACACAATTAAAATTTTTATTTTAAATGGCTTTTACTTTAGGCACAGCATGTTATTTTCTCAACAAATAAACTAATATGGAAATTGACTTTAATTAATATTGTGGTATTTTAACATGAATAACTAGAAAAGCATGAATTATAAAGCATGGTAACCGAATGTACAAAATTTTTTGTACGCAAAGCTAACATCCAACCCTAAATAGCATTTTAGGAATTGTATAAATATTTAATAATATCAATTTAAGTGTTTAATGTTATTTCAAAGGAGAAACAGTTTTGTTAAGACCCTATCAATAAATTTGTAATTCAAAAATGAATCGATTGGTTTTCGTGATTAATTTCAATAAAGTATGAGAGCTTATAACAATTAGATTTTTGAAAGTTTCGAAGATAAGTCAGGATTTGATTATTACTAACTTACTAAATTATTATGCTCAGATTTCCCGAGAGAAATAGTTGTTAGCTCGCTCTCCTTATATGCAAATTTTGATGAGGTAATTTGTTTGTTGTCATGAAGGAATTGCTTTTCAAGAAAACTTTCACTTTACTACAATTCTGTAAAGCTCTTTTATTTGAACTATTATTTGAAAATATTTTTTAAGAATTAAATGCTAAATTGAATAGTAATGGAATAATTGATAGTGTTTTACCAATTTTAAAGAAATACTATCCAACAAATGATGAATAGTTATATTTACCAAATCCAGCTGCTGTTTTTGAATGCCTGATAAAGCTAAGTAATGAAAAAAATAAAGCATGTTTAAATCCAATTCTACCATTTACAGTGGACATGTTTTCAAGTATTTATTTTTGTAATTATTATAGCTCAAATATTTAAATGGAGGGATAGTTGAGTTTACCAGCCTTAAATAGCAATTGTTTAAAAAATACAAAAGTTGATGCCCAACTTACAAAAATTGATTAATCTAATTGAGAATTCTAATCAGAGAATATAGGATAGCACAAGATTAGATGAGGATGAAAATAAAAAGAAAAAATAAAAATGAAAATTTATAATTAATTAAATTATTGATATAATAGAAATGATTGCTCCGATAACCCTTCTATGCTAGTTGAGGATCTAATTGGAAATTGGGAGTTTGTTCAAGTGATTTAATTAATTATCATTTCAGGCAGTGCTTCTCAAAATCCAATTAAATCAGAGGTATCATCAGGAAAATATAACGATTCGATGGTTCTTGATATTTAATTTAAAAAAGACGCAATGCAAATCGTGATGAAAAGAGTGCAATACACAATAAAATTGAAAGCAGCCATATAAATTAATATGCAAAATGCTAATCTTTACTGAAATATCTTAGGTTCCACTGCGACATCATTTATGCTTCAAGGGCAATCAGAACATACAATTGAAAGCGCTCGATATGATTTAAAAATGCAAATTGAAATAAAATTGATATTTTGTATTCTTTTTTTTATATCTGAATTCAGCGCCAGAGTTACCAAAGCGGTAGTTTCAATAATATCCGAAATTTCAAGCGCATATCAACCATTGTTTGTAATTTATGACTTTACATTAGTGGCTTCTACTACTTCTTCAAATACTACAATCAATACTTCTGAAAAAAAAATAAAGCAACAACATAACAACTTTTTCTTCGACGAAAGCTTCTACCAATTTTCACCAATCTCTTAGGATCATAATTAGATGCCAATCCAGCATATTCTATGTATGTAGGATCTAAAACTATCCCAAGTTGAATTATCATTTAATATATCTTAGATTGTGATGAAAATATGAATGGGTATATCAGAAGTTTTATCTTGCAAATCACAAAAACTTAACTAGATACTTTTCACACTTATTTTTTAAGCAACTCAAAATTCTCTGAAAATGGTAATAATAGGGCTATTTAGTTGACAAATGATATAATGCTTAAGAAAGGAGGAGCAGCTTGTGAAGAGTAGTTTGTTTCCTTATCTCCTTCTTTATCCTTTACATTTTTCTTAATTATTTCATATTCAAGTTGTTATGATCATTCAATATTATTTATTCACATTAGATCAGTAAAAATCAATATATCCTAATTTCTTTTGAGAAATTTTTATGTCTGTAAATTGTTCCGCAAATCCAAATATACACCCTATGAAAGGATTTTTCAACGATATTTCTATCAAGATGTTGCTATAAAACATAAGTTGATTTTGATAAATAAACATTAGAAATTAAAATTATTTGAACATACAGAAAAATTGATTTATATATCATAAACAGATAATTTCATTACCTGTGGAGATATGCAATAACAATAGATATGTCGTCAATAACTTCATCTTCTTCTTACCATCTTTTGGTTGACTCTCTAACGATGATTTCACATATGTCATCTATCTTTTAGCTGTCATATTAGGACTCTAATGGGATATAACAATTTTTAGATTTTTTCATTTGAAAAAAACTCCCAAACTCCATCGCTTGCTACCACCAAAAATGCATAATTAGATTCCATTTTGTAATGAATGATTTCAGGTTCTGAACTAACACGTACTGTTGAAGCACCATAATCTCCAAAAGACCTGCTTAGAGCTAATCCTGGAATTTGTTCATGCTATAGCCAAAACTCTTGCTGGACCAATTTTTTCTCCAGTTTCTATAATATATGGCTCAACTCTTCCACGATTTATATGATCCTTTCAAACTTTGAAGGTAAATCAGGTTTATAATCATTGGACAACTCCACTAAATGCCACTTATTAAAATTTTGTTATTCTATAAAATCTAATTATTATTATCTATCCCATTTACCGATCTAGAATCTCCAATATTTGCACACTATAAATGAAGCCCAGAAACCAAAACCAAAGAACATGTTGTTCCACTAAAAGTAATATCAATTCCAGAATTTGACAAATCCTTTGTCATTTTAATAAAACTCTAATTCAAAACCTTTTATATTTCAGATTCGTAAGCTTCACTTATATCTTATTCTTATTTTCCAATAAAATTTTTTATAAACTGATCAATTATTGTTAGAATTACTTTTTTGATAAGAAACATAGTGTCCATAGACTCCATGTCCATCACAAACTGAGAAAATGTATTCGTTTTTGACTCCACCTAAATTATTGGTAATTACAACACTATCATAATTGGTTTTCTTTTGACCATTTCCATTTTAACCAGCTTGAGACCTTAATTTATAACTATGAGACTTTGAAAAGAACAATTAAACGTAATCTTACATCTCACATTCATTGGTAAGGTTATTCACTAATGTTGCCTAGCTTGTTGATCTTCCAAGTAACATTACCATTTATTATGGCATTTTTGGCTTTATGCTTGTAACTTAATCAACTGTTTATGATGCCATTTTTGCTCTTGAAAAATTAGCTTTTTGTTTAGGGGAGGTATCTTGAAGTAATTTAATTATTTATGCTCTACTCTTTGTACAAATTATACTGATGGTGTAACTTCATTGCTTGCATCCGTTCTTTTACTTCTTTTCTAAGCTAATCCTATATCGATTTTTTATAAGATGTTCTAACTTGATGTACTTTCTGCTTTTTTTAAATTATGTAATTTTGTTGGAGATGGTACCTATATATATTTTTGTAACTACTTGGCTACAATAAAGATAACCTCTATTGTTGTATCTAAGATAAAATATTTGAAATTACCATTTTCACTTTAACATCCGATATCCCATTACTTGCAGTAGAATATCTATTCAGTTGCATTTTACTCCTTTGCTTATTATTGCCCATTTCTAAATTAATCTTATTTATATACATCACAGTAGACATATTTATAATATTAAATCGTTCTGATGGATATTATTATCCCTTATTTTTGTCTCTCACTTGCTAATGGAGAACTAGCACTGGATTATTAGTTATGTGATTATGATTGTGACTCAATAAATTTAAAGGAAATACTTCCACTGGGTTCATGGAATAATATTTTATTTACTTATATAACTTTAATACAACTTTCTTTCAGAAAGTGTAATCACATTAGTTTTTTAAAACCCAAATTGAATATAACTGATCTTCCTACTTTATAGTTTTTGTTTAAAAAAAATTTACGTCTGTCAGAACATTTCCAATAAACACAACTTTGGGTACTCATAATTGTACTTTATCCTTATAAATTAGAATTGCATATGACTGGAGAACGTTTATGATGATCTAGGTTGAAGAGGTTTCCTAAAACTTTCCCCACATACAAAGTATAAACTGGATCTTATGGTATGGAGTTGGAAATCCCTCTTCTTCAGAATGTCAAATCGAACTAAGGTTCTATTCCGTTGGCAAGGTTGCCCGAAAATCATAAAAATATATCTTAACAGACCTCTCAGGGTTTGG